AGATAATAAATTCAATAGCAAATAAGAAAAATAATATTAATTTGGTTAGTGCTAACGATAAGGCACATATCTGTACCCTGGAGATAAAGGACATGAAATAACCATGTCACAAAATAGTAATTTTATAGGAAATCAAATTTTCATTCATTAATTAGTTTTTTTGTGACTAATATAAAATGCTTTATGAAATTATAGTTCATTATTAGTATTCTTTATAAGTTAACAAGTTCTTTACCTCTAAAGAAAATGGACATGATTTAATTTTCCATTGCCTTATATCCGTTAATTTTGATAACTGGTCATACCTTTATATAAAGCAAAAACTGTACAATAAGGACAAGCTAACTTAAGTTCATCAAATTTGGACATGGTGTCCTTTACCTCCGGGATACAGATTTATTATATTGAAAAAAAAAAAATAACATCTATAATTATTTTAAGATGCATATATGCCACCTCAGATGATATGTAAATTGATATTTATCATTTGTAGATCAAACAGTATATTTAACATATTGTATCTTTTCAAACCTAGGTAATAATTAATTTCATTTAATATTTTGAATAAATTAAAAAAATCCAAATGATTAATAAAATGTAAGTTTTGCATGACAGTCGAGACAGAATTTTATTATATTCAGAGTTGCTACACTACTGGGAAATGTCAAAGAATTTTTAATTTTACTTGGAAATTCAAGAAAATAAGAAAAACAATATTATAGTATCAAATTGTGTTTGTTTATTTTATCAGACTTCAATAATTTCAAAAAAATTATCTTATCCAGTTATTGATATGAAAAGTTTGCATATCCAGTGTTTTAGTTTATTGTTTTACGCCACACACCGAATCAAAGAATACACTAACAGGGAGAAGTTCAGTGTTTGATATGTTCTTGTCTAATAATCTATATTTTATTCGGTGCTTTAACTATTTTATATTGAACTAATATTTATTAAATACATTATTATGTTATTTACTTTTATGTGTTAGTGTTATACAATTGTTATGTCATTAGTATTTAAAATTAGTATAATTTACAACTATAGCAACCCTGAATAACATAACTGTCAAAATATAATTATTTAGTATAATACATTTTTAAAAATTCAGAAATTGAAAATAATAAATTCTAATTAATTATTACCCTAAGTATCTTCTTCGGTTTTTAAGTTGATGGTCAGAACATAATTTTATAATAATATAACTATCTTGCTATCAAAATATTATTAACTATATTATTATTACAATATATTTTAATAATTAATATAGATAATAAATTCAGTAGCCAATAAGTAAAATTAATATTAATTCGGTTAGTGTTAGCGATAAGGTACATAATAAATTATAATTTAAGGAAAAAATAACATTGATAATTGTTATAAACCACCGATATGACATTTATAGATTGTAAGTATATTGTTATTGATCATTTATTGATTAAACAATATTCAGTATAATATATTTTTTGAACTTAAGAAATAATTAATTTAATTAACTATTAGATGCATACAAATACTTAAAGGATTAAATGTTTAAGTTTAGCACGATTATTGGACTGACTACTGGTTTACTGTCAAAATAAAATTATTCTTAAGTATATTCTTATAATTATTTGATATAATTTATTTTTAGAACTTCACAAAATGGAAGTAATGAATTCCAGTGATAAAAAATCATTAATTACTACACACATAAATGTATAAGTTAAGCACACAAATTAAGATAATTTCTTAATTTGTTGTTTGATGGTCAGGACAAATTGTTATAATAATATAACTAACTTCCCATCATAATATAATTATTATTGAAGTATATTATAATATTATTAAATTAATATTGGCGATTAATTCAGTAGCTAATAATCATTATCATTATTAAAATTGTATTAGTTTTGTCAGTTTTGATAATAAGGAACTTAATATAATATAAGGAAAAAATAAAATTGATAACCGTTAGAAATAAAAATTAGTTGTTAGTCTCTTAAGTAATATCTTATTATTAGTTTTTAATTTTTGCACACAAATTAAGATAATATATTGATTTGTAGTCTTGCACAAAGGTTCGCTGGGATAAATTATGATTGTTCTTAAAGTACAATGATTTAATATTGATAATAAAATAGTATTTTATAGATGGTTAGAAAAAATGGACAATGGGAATATTTTTGGTATCGATATTTATGATATAATATATTGTTTTAACTTGAATAAAGTAACTTTATCTATTCTTACTATTTAGACAAAAAAAAAATATAAAATGTACGTAATAAAAAGCCTTTTTGACAATTTTTGAGATACTACATGAAAAAAAAAAACGCATTATAAAGTATCGAAATCGAACTTATTTTATATTGTCCACTATATTATCTAGCCAAGTATATAATAACTTATTCCTAATATTATGATATAAAACTATTACTATATTTTGTTATTAACAACAAAAAACAATAATAATCCTCTATAGAATGTAATTTTTTTCTATGTTTATTATTTTTGTTACGTTTACTTTTACAATATTCAAAATTGTTTAAAATCGGCTCTTTACATTTTTAGAATTAAAAAAAAAGTATGTTTAAATAATATTTGCACTTTTAAATTTTATTTTGCACTTATTTCTGATTTTACACACTTAAATTAATATACCACTTACAATAATTTAGTGATGATATTTTTTTGTACTTTTATCATAATATTTATGATGGGCACATGTTGTGCTGCTGATATAGAATATGTTAATGCTATTCATTTTACTTTATATTATTTTAGAATAACATAAACTAAATAAAAATATTAATTATACTTGAAATATATTTGACTACTTTTTTTAGCATTGTGGTGATGGATTATTATTAATTTGATGTATTAATTAAATTATTATATAAACAATAAACATGTTAATTTTTTCAACTGTAATAATTATAATAAAATAGTACCTGTAGAAAAGCAAACCATTTTTTTTTCTTTTTACACATAATGAACATTATATTATACCACATATTTACACCACCTATCCCCCTTGTATATTTAAATCATTTTAGTCCTTTAACAATAATAATTTCCATCTACATTTTAATGGATAAAGGATACAATAGATCAGTACTTGGGTAATTATGCGCAAATCATAAGAACTAAAACATTATATTTTAATTTGATTGTTGTCATTGATGACTTAGGTATGTTTTTTTAGTGGTCTGCTTTTGAATTGTCTTTTATATTATTATTTACTACTGTCATTACTAGAGTTGAATATTGTAAATAGTCTTGGGTGATTAAAATTAAAAATTATTTTTTAGTTGTAGATAAATAATGACTTTTTTGAGTTTAAACCAGTTGAATTTAATTAAAAATGAGTCTACCTTGATGGTTAATTTCATTAAATATATCTATCCAAAATTTCTTATCAACCAGATAATACCAAAATCATTATGGTAAAAAATGTGTTTTTTTTTTATCTTGCTCTAACTTCCTCTAAAAAAAAAAAAGGCGTCAAATGGTTAATACTTTGAATTGCACTTTTCAAGCAACTTATAATTGGCATTTAATATAGTTTTTAAGATTTTATGCTAAAAATAGTAAAAGTATAGTAATAATTTTTTGCAATAAATTATTTTATTAGTGTTTTTTGTGGTGATTTGGGTCAGAATGTTTTTATTTGTATTACGCTCTTCTTGAATATATACATACATAATTGGATACTAAATAAACATAATATGTATTAAGCTAATGCTTGTGAACAAAAAAAAAAAAATCATCGATTTTCTTTATTTTAGGACAAATCCGCGAATATATTTTCTAGACCTCTGTGTAGTCACCATAGTGTTCAAAAATTAGAAAATATGTTGTTAATAATTGCAAGCGGTTAATCGATAAGATTTAGTGTAACGAAAGATTTAACATACAAATCATCAACTAACCCTCATTTTGCCACAAAAAATTTGGTGTTCATATTAGTTTACTAGTTGGAGTGGAAAAAGTATTAATTGAACTGTTTCAATTAATGTAATTGCTTTACTGAATTCGAACTCTGAATATATTGAAATAACATTTGGATAAAGAAGAAACTGAGGTAACCAAGTTCAAAAGTTATCGACCTGGATCCCCCATCCATTTGTAAAGTTTAATATAATATTAAATTGTGTCATAAATATATTAAATAACAATATTCTTTAAGAGTTGTCTTTTTAAAAAAATTCTATACTTTCTGACCCTATTCATCTATAAGAGTGTTTAATAGACCTCGCTTCAATATTAATATTAAACTGATTTTATTCACCCTATCAACATGTGAATAGAGTGACAACTTTAAAAAAATTGTAAATTATAAAACGAATTTAAATGTTATAAACATATTTAGCATTAGGTATGTAAACTATTATTGAAACTAAATTTTTTTTTTGCAACTCAATAATGTGTGAAGTTGTAGTTTAAATTGACCCGATTATAATGGTATACAGAATGATCAACATAACGTAAGACATTCATCATTCTCTTGGAAAGTATTAAATTTGTTGAAAATTTGGTTTATAAGAAATAACTAGTTTTATAATGTTATATTGCTTTTTTTTTTATCACGCTTATTTTAGAGCATGAAACCACTACCTACTTTTGATTTTCCAAATTTCTAGTAAACGCATCAAAAACTAACTGTCCCTGTGCACCGACTCGACAAAATTCACCACCAGTAACCGTCCATAAAGTTGATGATTGGTGCCGGATTTCTAGTTGAAAAGTTGCTTACCGACGGCAAAACCAGCAACATTCCTTGATTCGCTCGTGGCTAGGTACAAGTATACGTTTTTATTTCAATTTCAAATAAACATAAACATTGGACATTAACAAGTAGGTACGGCAATTTCAAAATTTGAAATAGTGCCGTGATTTCAAAAGAACATTATTGATTGGCCCACGACCAGATCCGTTTGGAATAATGTTATACAATGAACATATAATGCGGAAAACGGGAAAGTGATAAATCACAAAAAAAAACTCGTGTACCGTGTCGGCAGATACGATATAATCACCGCTTTAATAATAAATAAATCGACTCTCCGTCGACGGGCAATACCAACAGTAGATATTATAATAATAATAATAATAATAATAATAATATTAATAACAATAATATTAATTAACGATATTAAATATAGGTTTTAAATACTTAAAAATAAATTCGATATTTTCACATATTTCGTACAATATTAGGTAATAACACAACATAATAATACGTAAAGTTTAAAATTAAATATAAAACAGATGGGTATGGGATTTTTTTTTTTGTTCACATTACATTAAATAATAATCAAATTATACATGAATATTGTCCAACAAAAAACGCGATATTCTAATATTCAAACGCCGCGGTTTAGAGACCGAGCGACGGTAACGGTACGAAATTTTACTATTGTTTTATCAATTTGGAATAAATAAGTTTCCTACCGAAAAATGGGGATTTCGAATGCCAAGAAAAAAAAAAAAGAAAAATGTCAATTGTATTGCGCGTCTCGACTGGTAGGTACATATATACTATGATGATCGCGTGCAAATATTAATCTCGGGCTTCTTTTCCTTCCTTCAATTTCGCAATGGAGTTTTTCATTGAGCGGTTTGCATCGCCATGTTGTCGTAGGCGTTTCTGATGACTGTGGCTTTGACGTCTGGCAATGATAAAAAAAAAAAAAAATGGATTCTATAATAGAAATGTTTTATAAATCTGTGTTGTTTTCCAAACAGAACAAGTATTACTGTGTGTGCGACCAGGCGCGTAGCCCTGATTACCAAAGGGGATGTCCTGAAATACAACCTAAAACTGTACAGAAAATGTGCGGAATCTCTTTTTCACTATCACAATATGGTATTTCAACATCGCTGTTTAATTATTAAATAGGGTTGCCATTCGTTCTCTTTTTCAAGTAAATGTCACTTTTTTTATTTTGAATTTGTCGTAAATTTTTTCGAAATATTTGTAATGATTTTTCCAATATTTTGACATTAAACAAGCAACCTTTTTAGGTGTTTTTCATTATTTACATAAAAAATATATATATATTTTTTAACGCATTCTGTAACCAAGAATTAATAAAAGATTTTTAAAGAAATTTGTATTTTAAATTCTGAGTGGAGCGAAGAAACTTATGGTTTTACAAAGGTGTTTATTTTTTTTTCTGTAGACAACTTTTCTACCAAAGTACTTGTTCCGATTTTTATGTGTAGCATTTTTTCTGGTTGAAAATCGGTGTGGGGAAGTACTTTATAGAGGCCGTTCAAATTTCTCAAGAATTTTCCCTGCAAATGTGAAGACATGCGAAAAATGTAGGAAAAACGGGAAAATCAGTTCAATGAACAAATTGTATCATATTAAATATAATATATAATGCCTGTTTAATTATATTACCGTAATATGACATAAACTTTATTGTTGACAACATATCACTATCAACTGAAGTCTGTTCAGAATCGTTTTTCGTTAGCAATGGTTAATGTTTGTGAACGGATATACATTAAATTACCTATAACAGTAGCGGAAGTGGCCCCATTATTTTAGGAAGTCTTTTCTTTTTATAATTCAGTTTACAGTACATATTATAAAAAGACATCCTAGGATAACGGAGATGGGTGCAGCCACTGTTATAGGTAATTTAATGTATATCTGTGAGCAACGATTCACCATTATTAAAGAAAAAAACGATTCTGAGCGGAGTTCAATTGATAGTGATGCTTTGTCAATAATATACATGTTATATTATGATAACATAATTAAATAGGCATTATATAATTTCTTAAACATTTATTTATTTAATATTGTACCGATTTTCCTGGTTTTCCCATGTTTTTTCTCATTTGTTGGGGAAATTGAAAATTGACTTCTCTAAAGTACCTCCCCGGTCAGATTTTCTTTAAGAAAAAGTGCTATCGTTGTAAATCTGAGCAAAATTGCTGGTAGAAAAGCCTTACAGAGAAAAAAAAAGAAATCCGTAATACGTATCGTATTTTTTAATTAATACTAACATTTTGTACGCCCAGGAAAAACTAATATTTTAATATTGATAGTAATATACTTACTTTTATGTCCGTTTTCTACGCTCAGTGCGGTCACCGGATACGCTTGTTCTTTGTGAAGGCTCATGTCCAAACCTATAAAGCGCAATACGCGTGATATCATCAGTACACGTACGTACTATACAGAAACCGACGACGTAATATACTTACCGGCAATTTCTTTGTCCTTGGATACGCGAAGCAGATCGAATACCCTAAGAAATCCGAACAGTATTACGCTGTTCACCGTCGACCATGCGATTATGGATCCGGCTCCGATCGAGTTCGATATTAACAGCTGCAAATAAAATATCGTATTTTTATTATTATTATTATTTTTTTTTTTTACTATCAGCCTACTAGGTTTCAATTTTACAGTGACATTTGCGACCACCACGATCTGTCGCGCTAACTTACCGACATCGAATCCCTGTTGTTCCAGAATCCTCCCTTCACGAACAACGGCACGGCTATTACTCCCCAGAGTCCGCCCCCGAAATGAACGGCCGTACATTCCAGAGGATCGTCCACTGAAACGAAAAATTCCCACGTGAATGTCGTGTCGATTGCAATATTACTTTTACAAAATATACTTTATACATATTTCCAATTAGATGTCGGGGGGGGGAGAAGTGTAATGGAAAATAGACAATTTTTTCTTGAAATGCTAAAGACGGCAATGAATTTATTGTAAATAACTGATCAAAAACCGAAACGATCGAAGAACGATAAAGGCTAAAATAATTGCCAATAAAGCCAATGGAAATGTCAAAAACCAACGCAAGCGTGCTCTGATTGTTATCGGGATATCGGATGTTGGTAACGGCGGTGCATACTAGTTGGGTCCCAGATTCCAATTGTTCATCAGTTTGGTCCCGTGTATAAAAACCTACTGTTTTAGTTTGGGTCCCGTGTTAACCAGGCCTGCTGTACTTGTTGGGTCCCCAAAAAAAAAAAAAACATTTTCCTTCCCATTTTTTACAGACCTAGGACTGTCTTATAATATTTAGTTACAGGTATGGTTAAAAATGTTTTTGTTTCTAATGTTTATTATTTTATTTTCGTGATTTACAAATTGTTCATCGTCTAGTTGTTAATATGGCTTTCAATTAATAATTGGGTTGAAATTTATAACATACAGATTTAACGTGTTAAATGTGTTATGTGTTAGAGTTTCCTTATCATTTTTATATCATTAAATATTTTTATAATTATACACGGGCCCAACTCGGATGCAGCCGGTAACGGTAGTGAACTGAAACTCGATCACTAAGTTCTTTTTCGTTTTTGAGAACGATTGTATTTTTACGAACCAATCTTGAAGATTCTTTCCGTATAAAATTGACCATTGGGGTTGCCTAATCTCGAATGCTTATGTTACCTATATTAGACATCAAAAGTCGATGTCGATGATTCCTCGGTGACTTAAGTTTAAAACGGTTTAGATCACTTCGTATATTATGTCGTACTACGTAAGTACCTTTTATAAAGGGCACCAGCCACTGCAACACCAAGTAGACGAGACAGCCAATGGCACCGATGATCAGCGATGACAGACGAGTGTATTGGTCGACGCCTCCGCAAACTGAAACCTTGAAAATAAAAATCCCCGTTGTAAATGTGTCGTATTAGAGCCGATTGTTTGTCAGTTTCCTCGCCAGTATGACATTGACCTTGGGCACGGATTTAGATATACCTTAGGTATATCTTAATTGGTGACCTTGGGTTACACTTGAAAAATTTCTGCGCGCATAATTATTTTGAAAACCAAATATGATTAAGAAAATAATAATATTAAGTTATTGACTTAATATTTTTATGAACCGGAATTAAAACTCTAATTTTAACATGGATTGCGGTGATAAAGATTACAAATATTTAAATTTGAATTAAATTTTTATATTTTAGTAAGAAATAATTCAGAGTTCTGAGAAATTATTTAACTCATGTTGATGATAAAGCAAATAAATACATTTTAGTATAGGCTGACACACAAACTGATATTAAATTATTATTTGGAATAATTTATATTTTTTTCGGTTGATATGAGATATTATTTATTGTTTTTCTTATAATTTTTAAGAGAATTTATTTTAGCCCTATAATATGTCTTTTGTAGTTTACACGCGTAGTACTTGTTATTAGTACTTGTCACTCGCACGCGCATCTTGCGTGTAAACAATAAAAATAGTACTAAGCACTTGTAAAACCTTGAGTGCAAATTAATAGATGTGTGTTTTATTTACTAACGACAAGTAAATTCCCCCCTTATGCCTCTGATTTACTCGCATTTGCGCTCGCAACGTGTGACTACCCGGTGTTAGTATTTAGTGACAAGTATCAATAAAATAGGATTACGTGCGTATTTCTGATGATCTTCCAAATTGTCTATTTGCGTTTTTGCTTGCTTTTATATATTTATAAAACGTGTAAAACGACTGAAAAATGAAATGCGATTAAGTTTGTGTAAAAAGTTAAGACTCACGAATGTCTGTGGTGTGTAAAATGTAAATTATACAAATATAAACAAATGCGGGAATCGGCCTACTAAAAAATTGTAAAAACTATGAACATTGTTGGTTTTAATGTGCTAGAAGTTAAAACTAAAATAAGAAAATTAAAATCAACTTATTTCCATTGACGATATTATAACGTTATGCCAACGTCGTTCACGGAACGACGTACGACGGCTGTCGAGTTATAGCAGAGCATTCAGCAGAACCTCCGTAAATCCATTTTTCTATTCGCAATAACATTTGTTTTCTTGGATTTAAAACGTAGTAGTATTGTTATTTAATGATCTGTGTGTGTTCACTTAATTTATTTATTTGTTGTCGACTGTCAAATCAGTCCATAACACCCACCTGTAGTATAATTAATATAAGATACGTCATATTAATTAGTAATTATCTACTAATACAAATCATCGAACTCAACGGTTAACCACGTGTTACATTTTAGTATTTAACTAAACTGAAATTGAAATAAATTAACCAATTTGTATTTTGGTTGTTGACCAATTCAAATTAATAACATTTTACGCTTCCGTCAATGATTAATTTACATTAGTCTCTTATAGGTCGTGCTATTGAGAGTCTCGTTGGCGGTCACGCCACGGTGTTAACACTACTATCTTATTTCTTTATTTTTAGTGTGTATTTAAAGTACTGTTATATTTTATTTTGCATAAAACATGCTAGGAATAGTTTACAAAGACATTTTTAAACACTTAAATTAATCAGCAAAATACACACACTAGAAAAATAGTTTTTTTTTTATTTGATTTAGTAATAATTTTATGCAGAGTTAAATTTATTAGAATTAAAATAAAATTTTGTATTTATAATTTGAATGCATGCCTAATTACATTTTAGATTCTGAGTGGAGCGAAGAGACTTATGGTTTTACAAAGATGTTTATTTATTTTTTTTTTCTGTGGACAACTTTTCTACCAGCAATTTTGCTCCAATTTAAAATGCTAGCACTTTTTCTAAAATTAAATTTGACTGAGATGGTACTTTAGAGAGATCATTTTTTTGATTTTCCCCAGGAGTATCCCCAATAAATGAGAAAAACCGGGAAAAAACAGTAAAAACGGGGAAATAGAGACAATATCAAACAAATATTATTAAAGAAAATGTTTAATGCCTATGCAATTATTTTGTATACATATGCTAGAATACCTATGCAATAAAAATGATGAGATAATTAAAACTACATGGTTTTCAATAGTTCCGTATTGGAGATAAGGTGAAAAAGTGATTCTACGGTTATCCTGTTGATACCTAAGTAGATAGGTGGTGGTTAGGTCTACTATAACTATTGACCAGACTATTTAAAAACGCATTTGGCGCCACTGGAGAGGGGGGGGAAGTGGTGTACTTACCATACCGATCAGGATGGCGTTAACGGTCATCGCGAAAGGCCATTTGGACTTGCCGGCCAGACCAAAATTGGACAGGATGAGCATCAACACAGCCGCTCCGCTACCGCCCAAAATCGTGTTGGAAACGCTATTCGCAACGATCACCCCGTCGCCCGGTTCCGTAATGTGTCCCAGCGATCCGCCGTTGAACGATAGAAATCCCGATATGAGTAACATCGTCCCGGTGGCCACTAGCTGTAAACAATTTAATATTCACGGTGATCACAAAGACAAATGATGTGCGAAAATAAATACCTAAACAAAGAATGGACAGCTAATAACGCTAGTAATAAGTATTTAATAATAAGCGACGGAGCAGAATCTGTGTGAATTAAAGACCTCTAGGAAGATCAAGGATTAGTTGGGAAAAACGTCAATACCTAATAAAAAAGCATTTGGAAATATTTGTTAGTGGTTCGAACTGAAAAGAAAAATAAATGGATAGACTGAATAAAAAATGGTGGTGGGTTAGGTGTGAGATGGTGTATGTTCCCTATAGAAACCATAGAAAAAAGATAGGTAGGTTAGGATAGGTAAACTATTGAATAGTTATAAAGCAGACCAGCCATAGTAGTAGTGACCAAAACAAAATAAATACTACTATCACGTATCTATTGAAAAACCAGGATGATTTCGTAGAGATATTATTACGGGATGATCTAAATGGAAAAATACCTTAGGGAAGACCGCGTATAATGTGAGGTATGATAAAAATACAAACAGATAAAAATTGTTACGGCTTGGTTGAGGATATAAGTGATAATCGCAGGTGAATGTGTTTGGGTATTTGGTGTTTGATCTTGAAGGCTGTGGCCAAAAAAAAAGTTCTAGACGTGAAAGCATGTGCATTAATATTCGTCGAGTTTTGCTTACCGGCATGGAATGTCCACTGTATTCGTTGGAACCGTTAAAATTGCCGAAACGTCCGATTCTCGGGCCGATAAACAGTGCCGCCACGAATGAACAGGTGCCGGCCAACATGTGCACGGCCCCGGCCCCGGAAAAGTCAGTGTAACCGAGCTTTAACAGCCAACCGTCAGACGACCATACCCAATGTGAAACAATGGGATACGTGAAACCTATACAAATATTAAGTTAGGTTAATCGACCATTTGATACATACGTACTCCCACTCTCAAAAAAAAAAAAATTTGAATGTAATATTGAGGCTCACACACAGGGTTTTTAGTATTTTGGTATCAAAATTGAATTGTCAATGATAGTTGATTTTTAAATAATATTATTGGTAGTGAAAAAAAAATCGTCTGTTAGGAAATATTGGCACTCTAATACTGTTTTCGATACGTGCAGTCATTTTATTTCGTTGTGACACCGTTTCTTTACGATGACGCTACCAATTAAAAAAAAAAATAAATGACCCTAAACACAAAAGTATCTATAGAAAACTCACGTTTTTAGGAGAACTCGGAATTTACGAGGGCACAGTGCCAGAAAAAAAAAAAAAATTGAAGTTTCGAATGCAATAATGTTATGAAAACCTAAGACAGGAGTACGTGGTCGGAATACTAAATAATCCTGTGTATATAGGCAGTGACCGGTGACTCGATTGAAAAATTAAAACCGTTGAAAACCGTATATAAGCCGTTCATAAATGAAATGTTTTGTTTTTGTACAAAAAAAGAACAAGTTGTCATCAATACAATGTGAACCATTTTGATATTATATGAACAGACAAATTTTAATTGGTTCACAAATAATTTCGGTATTTACATATGAACGTTGAGGCGTTTCGGGACACACGAGTGACGAGTGGCCAAAAAAAAGTCACTCGTATATTAAAAACGACCGTGAGTGGCAGAGCTCCGTCACTAGAGTCAAAACTTTCCTCCCACCTATTTTGTGTCTTCTTCTTGGAAAAGACGGTTTGGGTCCATCGTCGTATTAACAACCTATTCCTTAATTTCCTCGTCCAAAAATGGCGAGAAAAAAATATATGCATATTATTATGTTTACATATAGGATCTATTTTCGAGGGAAATTTGACGCAAAATATAGAAAAATAAATGGAAGCGTTGATGGAAAATAATAGTTCAGAAAACAATAAGTAGGTAATGTAGAACGATGAAATGAACCGAACACTGATAAAATGTTAGAATCCTAAAAAACCAAATCGCTGAGCCGTTAGAATAATACTATATGTACAAATTTATGCATCAGTCATAATTTTATGTATCTAAATTATTAACATTATAACATTTTATTTTTTTACATAATTATTTTCACGTGAAACGTTGTTTCCCTAATACTTTTTTGGTGTTTTGTAGAATTTTTGTTGTTCTTTAGCCACTGTCATCGTTTTTAGGTACCAATGGTTACCTGATATGATCACACTGTAGAATACGTAGGCGATAAAATTGCATCTCTCGGCCACGGCACCCGATATGATAGTGGCGGCAGTGGCGGCAAACACGTACTGAAAGAACCATACGCCGTTTTTGATTTCCGGCATCCCGACGCTGGCAAAGTATTCCTTGCCGTAATATCCACATCCCCCGCCTCCGTAGGCCAGTCCGTAACCGATCAGCCAGTATGATATGGCGCAAAAAACTGCGTGAAGTCGAATCGCAAAAATAAACAATACACGTACGTTAATAAAGAGCGACTGCTAAAAGGATTTTTTATTTTTAAATCTTTTCCGAGTATACATCTGCTTAAAAATTTTGAACTCGCATATATACTCATAATATATACTCACAATATATACTCACACAAATCCAATATATTCTTCATCAAAATGTTCGTCACGTTCTTTGGCTGCACGTATCCAGCTTCTAGGCATGCGAATCCGGCTTGCATAACTGTTGAATATAAAAAATACAATTATACAATATATTTACATGTTAACACCGTGATCTCGTACCGTATAGTATGAATTATTATTATACATTATAATATTATAATCATTTATTCAGTTTCCGTATTTCAAATTTCAGTACAATTATGAATATGAATATATTTTACGACCAGATGTTACGATAGATCCCGAAGAAGTTTTAAATTAGTTTGCTCTTCAAAAAGATAGGAGCATATTATTGATTTCAAGTATGATTTTTTTTTTTCATGTTTTGTACACCGTACAAAACATGAAAAAAAAAAATGAAGTGGTGACAAGATGTCAAAGTAATTTTGTTTATTTTTATTTTAATAAATGAAGATAATTTTTTCTTGTCTTATTTTTAACCAACTATCAAAACCTAAATTCAATATAATTACAATATACATGTTTTGGACCCCCCCCCCTCAAAAATGTCTGGATACAGCCTTGTATTGTGACAGTAGAGCTCGGTAAAGATATTATGTGTATACATTTTCAATAATCTCTCTATACCTAATAATACAACAATATGTAAGTTGGCAGCATCAACAGGCGGGTTATAAATCGTAACAGTTTTTAAAACTTATAACTTAAGTATTAAAATTATTATTTAGTTCGTCTATTTTAGTTGTTTTTTTTATGCGTATATTTGCTTGATTTTATGACTATCTAACTCCAACACAATGTATGCTTTAGGAGATAAATAAATCATAAAATGTACTTGTGTATTTATGAATTTCATATGTGATAATTGTTCAATAAAAACATAACATTTATGGCCGATAAGACGCCGTCGTTGATCATGTCATGATCTAGTAAGACTGTTGGTATCAGTAAAAACGTAACGATAACTCGCACAAATAATTTCAATGACTTCCGCCAGATACTGTATATGATATACAAAACAAACCTATAAACACGATTGTCGGGTATTATTTAAAAATTAATACACACGCGTCATATTTGAATAGTATTGTTAATTACAACTTCATCTAATGAATTGATAAAATGATTATCGATATAGAATAATATTATAATCTTGCTTAGTTGCATAATAGTGTAGATTATGGTGAATCAAAAGTACGTTCTAAGCGATAATTATCGCGATGTGCGATTGTGAACCGAATGATTAAACAGTTTTTAGATGCCGCGATATCTACTTATCATAATGAATAAAAAGCAAATATAAAATAATTGAGATTGAATAAATGTCTTAAACGCGAGCAAATATCAACACGTGTGGCCATACGTAGATTCAATGTTTACTGTTGCTTTTGGCGTTTATGCCGCCATATAGTTTACCTAGGTATATCAAAAGGGGGTAAAGTTAATGACAATATGATTAAAATTTAGGCGTAGGTTGTTATTAAATAAATAAAAAAAACTCACTTCAAACATCAATGTTAAAACGGAAAAAAAAAATAGTAAGTTGCGGTTTAAAAGACAGTTTTAAAAAGATACAAATTCGAAAACTAATTTCGTAAATATACACCTTAATGTTTTAAACTAGAATGAGTAAAATGTATGTGTAAAACAAACTTAATAGGTATACTGAAACGAGAATATAATATGTGTTTCGGCAAAACTTTTCACTAAGTTTGTAAATAACGCGATTAAGTAAAATATTATGTACAAAAATCAGGTCACCAGGCCATCTAGAAAATTTAGTTTAACATTTGGGACATTATTTTCCTTACACCCGTACCAGGTTTGAACCCGTAGGGCGTAGGTTAATATGACGTCGAGTGGCGCCAGTAATCGTAGCGAGTGTTCATCATACTCGTATTTACAAAATTATAAAATTAAACATGATAGGTATGTTTCGATTTTATCAATAAATTAAGTATTGAAAATCATACATTTTAGCAAAACGATTTGTTGTAAATATTAAATTTTAAACATTCTTTCTTTTTTTAAAAAAAAATTCAAGGTTTTCAATTACTCAAAGTTTGTGTACCTACACACGTTTTAACAGTGAGTAGGTATGATAGGCATAGGTATCATAATAATTTTATTAAATTAAAATTTTTGATTAAAACGGGAATTAACGATAAACGAACAATTAGAGAAATGTAAACAGGAAAATATCTTATTAATGTACTCATATTTTCATTATGCTCAGTTTAAAAAAAAAAATTGTTTTTATACTGATAAGGACTGACTTAAGAGTTGTGACTGTGTCACAAAAAGCAATCGTTCGACTAAAATAAAAAATACAACGTGCTCGATAGCATATTAAACGATATGGCAATATTGTACGTAAATTCGTTATCAAATCTCAATTTTATTAATCTTTTTGAGTCAGCGGCGAATTTTTGGTGAAGTATATGATCAATCGTCCGACCTAATCGTTCCTACCCGAATATTTAATAACAATATACGAGAATACCTATCAAAAAAAAAAAAATGCACTGATGTTTAACAAAATCGTAAAATTATTGCATTCATTGTGTAAAAGTAAAATAATATTATGATACGAGTTATTGTATTTGATATAATGATTCGTTTATCGCTCGTACTAATTATCACTAAAAAAATATATAAGAAAATGTCGATATTGTACATAGGTGTGTAAATTATCAAAGATGGACAAGTTAATGAAAATAATTAACTAGTTCAAATTAAGTTAAAATATATACAAAAATGCTTTAGTTTGAAAGTAAATAGTTAACAAAAGATAAATTTAACTAATTAAGTAAGAAGTTAACATTTTTTTGAATTTTAACTCTTGGGAAAATCAAAAATGACCTCTCTTTAGAGAAACTCCCTAGTGATATTTCCTTTTAGAGACATTGCTATCATTAAAAGTTAGAGCAAAATTGCCAGTAGAAATGAAAGCACAGAAAAAAAGAAGGTCCTAAGAAGATTCTAAGCTCCACTCAGAATCTAAAACGTAATGTCAATATTAACACATGGCAACGCCAAGGTAAACGGGGTTTACGTTTAACCATCACTATTCACTATCATATTGTTATTATTATTGTTAAGTTAAATGATACATTAATTTATGACACATATTATTTTCCTTTACCGCGAACCGCGTTCGTGTGGATTCCAAATCGTCATAATCTATATCATATTCTACATATTATTTATAGGTACACGTTCAATGTTCATAGGATCACGAGTGTTATTTTGCTTGTCAGTATAGGTAGGTGTGTATACCTAGAAGCACCACGTAGTTAGGTTAGATTAGATTGGCTTATGAATATTATTACAATTGTAAACAATGTATTAATGTAAATATATATGTAGAAATGTAAATAATGTAACAACTATTCAATAAAGGACCAATGAAGTCTCCGTGATTTAAAAGCAAATTACCCCGTCCTGTAAGCTTTTTAGCTTTTTAAATTGATTATAATGATTTAATGATTAATTTATAAATTGATTTATGTATTATATATGTAAACAATGCACACCTACTTGAATTTTAAAAACTCAAAATTGTTAAATGATTATAAATAGTTTAAAAATAACCATAATATTTTGAAAATTTTAACATCGCCTAGAAAAGACTAGTATTCTGTGAAAACCACAGATTTCTATGATTATTTTCAATTGAATTTTTAATTGAAAAATTATAGAAAATAATAAAACCGTTAATATCGGTAAACTTTCCCGTTTATTCTATTGTTTTTCCAATTATTAATAAAACTACAAGAAAAATCAAAAACAAACCAATACTACAAAAAAAACTCTCTTGTCATTTTTTGATTGGAGCAACATTCCTGGTATAAAGATTGTTTACAGACAGAAAAAATAAATTATAAGCATACATCGTAGTAAAAACAAAACGTTTCTCACGGTGCAGCGCTCAGAATCTTAAAAAAAAAGTTGAAGATATTTATTTTCGTTTATCGACAATAATAATATTACGCTGTAGTTATTTGATTAAACTTGTAGATTCTAATTGTGGCTAAGACGGTTTTATTATTGTCGATTTCTGTCTGAGTTACCTTGGCCACACGCGCGGGAATAATCACTCTACTAAATAACAACACAGTACTACTTCACTCGAAATCGTTTTTTGCTTAATGATTTATGTAGGTATCGTTTTATTCAGTATGTATAAATTAAATTGAGCACCGCATATTCCATATATGCATTTTAAACTTCCCATTTATTACCCCTGCGGTGGCTTAATACCCACGGTTGTGGAAATTTCTTTTTGCTTTACCAATTATTATAACCAGTTAAAAACTTTTTTAGGCGAAATTGGAAAAGGGAAAAATGCGTGTTTTATTGATTTATTAAACACAATACGTTCGCACTAACGTCAATGATTTTCTATAAGGTTTTTATTTAAACAAATCGCCGCTTACCCGGCCAAGGGAACCTGCGTGCTGCGCTTATTGAAAACGTTCCCGGAAAATTGAATATCAGCACGATACGACGGCGATAGAAGTACTTGGTTGTCTAAACCGATCAAATAATTTAAAATTTAATGATGATTATTTGTATTTGTTTAGGAAATATTTACGACGTGACATGGCTATACAAATGGCAAATTATGCGTTTATACGGCAACAAGGAAATTCAGTAACTATAATATGTAAAATAAACGAGGTGCCGAAACGCGCGTTTAGAAATCAGCGTTTATTATACCGAAGAAGAATAGGTCTTCTTTTAAGAATTATCCGATTAAACCAATGTTACTTTAGTTATTTGTTCAAAACGAAACAAAAAGAGCAGTCAGCAGATTTTATTTATGGGCGTGCCACTGTTGTACGCGCGAAGCTGGGAAGTATAAAGTTATTTAATTGATAATTTGGTTAAAATGATTAAATTGGTAAGCAACGATAAACCATTGCTGACAAAAAACTATACTGAACGAAGTTCGGTTATATATACTTTTTGAAAAGCCGTCGTTTTTACGATTTTCGTCAAATTTTGATCTTAAATGCTTAAAAATAAACTACTACTTTATGCCAAGTTTATTTTTTTTTTTACAAATAAGTACTACTTGCAAGAACCTCGAGTTAAATTTATTAGGATTTCTGTTTGGTCAAACAATTTTATCCACATACTTAGGACCTATCAAATAATAAATTAAAAAAAGTATTCACAAATGTCAAACGCCTACAAATAATTCAAAATCGTTAAAATGTGTAAACAATTTTCCACGTTTAGAAAAGTTCCGTAAAATCAAAAAACCACCTCCTCGTGTACCATCTAAATTTAAAATGCATTTTATTTTTTTAAATGCTTAAAAATATTATTTACCTAACACTATAGCTCATAGATAAATCGAAAACTTTCGTTCAGTGTCGACCGTGTCGTCGTGTTATCCGTTTTGCTTAAACATTTCGTAAAATATAGTTTTCAATACCGGTATAATCGACATAATCACTTCGAAATAACATTTTAGTCGTGTGTCGTTCGTATTTCGTTCGAAACAATGAACAACTCAAACATTACCTAACTAATGTGTTCGAATAGTTGCAATTTTTTTTTTTCGCGTTATCGCGGTAACCGTGACTCAATTTACTCTCAATAACATTTCGTTACGAATCATTTTTATTTTCATAACAATGATTAGTAATTATGTTATCTACAACTACTGTAATCATATAATATAACAAAATCAACGGCGATAGAGCATATAACCGATTAAACGAGTGGTGCAGCCTATAATATACTTCGAGTGTAGCAGTTGCTGCGCATCACATTTTGGGTGAGTAGGTGTTGCAGGTAATTGGGATTAGGGAAAATCGAGTAGGTCGGGTATAAACATTCAAGGTAATGGGTTCTAGGGGTTGGAAAACAGCTATATTTTTATGCGGGTAAAAATTGTTGAGGTTATTGTAAGTTTTTGAGGTTTCAGTTAATTAATTGGATAGTCGATATAGTCCAGTTACACCGTATAAGACTCTTTTCACATTATACGTTTTTGACCGTTTATTATTATAATATTATTTTGTTTTTTCTTTACAATCAATTTACATTTCTACAATTTAATTTTTTCATAATAAACAATTCACACATATTGAAAAAAAGAAAAGGAGGAGTATAAAAAGAACGCGATAAAAAAAATGTCAACTCAAAATTGCACAAATATTATTTCGTTATTTAATTCAGCCGGTAAGTAGTTAATATTTTTTACTGTAGAAATTTACGGGAAATTCTCTTTAAAATATGAAAACGCTGAAAATCAGTAAGAATTATTATGTTCTTTGGTATTATTTTTATTTAAAATAGGTCAAATCAAAAAACTTACCGCAGAATCGCATAGTAAATATGAGAAAAATAATACAGAATTACAGATGCTTTCAAAAACAACACTTGATGGTAAATTATTATTTTAAAATAAAAATTGTCCATTGCTCATGTCAGCTATATTTAATTTAAAATAGATCAAGCAGCAGACAATTATATAGTAGAATCAAATGAAAACTGTGTTAAAACTGATACTGACCTGCCTACTAATTCATATACAGTACTTGAAGGTAAATTATTATTTTAAAATAAGAACTGTCTAGATGTCTAGTGTAATAATAATTAATAAATAATACATATCCTTGAACAGGAAAAACATTTTTGATACATTAGAATTGAAACGTATTTTTAGAAAAAAAAAAAATGGCAAGTTGAGGCTACTGATGATACTATTATGAATGTTAAAAAAAAGTTTACTATTGATGTATACAACAGAGTATTTGATACAATTATACAAAGTATAGAAAACCGATTTACAAATAATAAAGAAATACTTCTTGATTTAACATTATTATCACCTATTCGTTTTGATTCATTTGTAAATGAACTATCTAATAATTATTTTCTAAATTACTGTTTAAGTTATAGAATACACTATATGAAATTTGTATGCATTTATTTTTATATATATATATATAATATATTAAATAAAAATGTTAAAACAAAAAAATGTATTTGTTAATTTTCAAGTTATTTGATGGATCAAAGAATAATTTTTTCAAACATATGTCTGTAGATTAGCCCCGGAAACTATTAGCTGATGAGCTAATGGGCCGACAAAATATGTTTTCCAGGATTGAATTTAGGACCCTCTCCGGCCCTGCTCGTTTTCACATTATACGATTTTGGATTTTTGCTGTACGGTCAAAACCGTATAATGTGAAAAGAGCCTAAAGTCATCTTCTGATAATTGTTCAACTTAAAATACTTTATACTTATACTATATACAATATACATATACAGGTGATCAATCATGAGACACTCATTACCTTGGAAAGTATTAACATTTTCGGAATTTGTTTTAACATTTAAGAAACAAACACCTCTACAACTTTATATTTATGTTATTTTTTTTCGCCATTAATTTGAGGTGGGGAAGAATGTTCGTACTGAAATTTTTGGTTTCCGTGATCCATGCGCCATGCTGTCACATAAATGATGCTCCACTTCTCTCCCCCGAGCAGAACTTAAAAGTGGAATATCTCGTCAACGGATTGACGGAAATCAAAAATGTCAAAACTAAAATTTATTTTTAACTAATAATCTATCTATTTATTGAATTTTTAATACAGGCTGCCGTTTAAAAATCAAAAGTAGGAGTGACAAAAAATGAAATAGATATAAAATTTTAGAGTTGCTTATTTCTCAAATGTTCTATAAAAATAAATTTCGAAAAAAAGTAATACTTAACGAGATAATGATCGTTTTACGATGGAATGATGATCGCCCTGTATATGTAAATTGTAAAGGTGCATTATGAAGAATTACGAAATATTTTAAACACTGAGAACGTTTTAAGCAAGTGCTTATGTTTGAAAAGTTGTATACATAAATGTTTAAACAATTAAACATTAAGCAAACGGAGTTCCTCAAGGATCATCAATTTCGGTTACTCTTTTCCTCATAGCCACCAACAATATTACAAAGAACATTTCCCTGCCTGTCCAATCCACCCTCTACGCAGACGACTTCAATATTTATTGCCGAAGCAAGAGCCTAGTAACCGTCCAAACTCACCTTCAACACGCCATTAACAACCTCCTCAAATGGACCCAGTCATCTGGTTTCTCTTTCTCACCCGAAAAATCTCAATGCATCGTTTTTACATGTAAACGTAAACAAAGTGCAATAAACATAAAAATGGGAGAACAAAAATTAATAAATAATAATACTATTAAAATACTGGGTATAATATTCGACAAAAGATGCTCCTGGGCTCACCATATCAACTTCTTGAAAACCTCAATTACTCCACGCCTCAATATTATAAAAATGCTATCCCACACATCACGGGATTCCAAGACCCATGTTTCGACAATAATTTATAAGTCACTTATCCTGTCCAAACTCGATTATGGAGCCTTCATTTGGATAAACGCAAACAAATCAATAACAAGAAAACTGGATATAATCCATAACTCAGGACTTCGTATGTCGGTTGGCGCTTATCGTTCAAGTCCAATACCCTGTATTTACAACCTGGCCGGTACACCTCCACTTGACATAAGAAGACTTAAAATCACATTAAATCACGAACTAAAATTAGCAAATGCACTTCCTACTCTAGATTTCAAATTCAAGTTTCAACTATTACCAATACTACTCCAGGAGAACAACTTAGAAATAGAAATATCTAATTTATTAACTATTCCGCCTACTTTGCCCCCCCCCCCCCGTGGAAAAATATCAATAAAATCAACACTGAACTCTCCATATTAAAAAAAAACGACACATCCCCATTTATATACAAACAACAATATCAACGATTAATACAAAATGCCATAAGAGATAAAATTTACACTGACGCCTCCAAAAGTCAAGACGGGGTCGGAGCCACTGTAATATGGAACAACATGAAATGTATGTACAAACTTCCGGGTTCCTACTCAGTTTTTACCGCAGAGTCAACGGCTATAATAAAAGCCCTCGATATAATAACCAAACATCACATCCGAGACTCCATCATCTTTACAGACTCCCTCAGTGCTATCAACAGTATAAAAAATACATATAATCCATCAGACATTGGCCTACACATTCAAAATAAAATCTACACTCTCCAAAACAACAATTATAAAGTCAAACTTTTTTGGATTCCCGGACATTCTAACATAAATGAAAATGAGCTCGCTGACCTCGCAGCAAAAGCCGCAATCTCCTCGCCACTATCATTGTCTACACAAATCACTATGTCAAAGGACATACAAACTTTGATCATAAATAAATGCCAACTAAGATGGCACCAGAAATGGACATCATACCACACTAAACTTAACCAAATCAAACATAATATAGACTATTGGACGTTTCCTTCAGAAATACCAAAACAATTTGAAGTTATACTAACAAGACTTAGAATCGGACACACTCAAATCTCCCACAGTTTTCTAATGGCCAAGGAAGAATCACCAATATGCACAGCCTGTGGCGTTCATGTCACCATCAAACACATTCTTACTGAATGCCGAATATACCGAAACACGAGAAAATTTTTCAACCTCACTGATTCAATAGCGGAAATACTACAAAATAAACATCAGTCAATATCCAACATCATCGAATTCATTACAGCGGCCAAACTCCAAACCAAGATTTAAAAACCTATAATAAACTAGATTAATTAGAATAAGTACACAATAGTATGTCATTATCGTATACAATAATTGTAAACTAACGGCCCAATGGCCTATGCTGCCGAGGGCCTATTTATTAATAAAAAAAAAAAAAAAATTTAAACATTAAATTAAAATGACTTATATGTTCTGAAAACTGACGATGTTTGTATGTTGTATACATAATTTCTACATTCGTTTTGAAAATGTAAATTAAAATAAACAGTTCCTATTTATCTTGAGCAAAAAAGTAACATTTTTTTTTTCAATTGTTATTTTGTACTTAAAGGATTAACTAATTTGTATGATAGTATTATATTTACAATACAAAAAAAAAAACCAATGTAATTATTGCATAGTATATAAATCTATTGAATATCGGAATCTAATGTACTCTTATTATTTTATTACCTATAATAATAATATACAGCTTTTAGACAAAAAAAAAAAATTAACCCTCTACGTCGCATATTAAAGCCCAAGGCATGTGCCTACTTTACAGTTTCTAAATTGGCTACACGTGGGTCGCACACGTTATGTATAAAACATAATGCGGTGATCGTAAAATGACCGCGCTATTACTGATTACACGTGCTCGCGATCTAAAATTTACTGTTACGATAAGTCGATTCGAATGTTCACGACGCTATTCGCGATGTACTCGTATTGGTTTTACTATTGTGTGCGCATTTAAATTTTTTTTTTAAATTTTACTGCTCGTAAATAACTTTTTTAACGGAAATCTGCCACCTATCCGGCCTATCAGAAAACGACAAGAGAGCTTTTACGTAGCAAAACCAAAAAATTTGCTCCCGAAATGCATCGATATCGACATTTGCCAAGCTTTCGATTTTCTGGGTTTCATTTTTTTTGTTTCCCTATACTTCTCGTCCACTCCTTAATTTTATCTTTTACTCTTGTTTCTGTTTTCCATGAAATCGCTGTAAAACGCTTGGCGGCTATTATTGGAGATTTCACATTCAATCATTTTTAAAATCGTTTCTTCTCAATTTGTTTTGTCTACATTGCATCGTGTTGGAGGGTAATATTTCAAAAAAACAGCCATCAATCATTGATTAGCGATTTCGTGGCAAAGCAGGTAAAAGGGAGAAAAGAAGGAAATATAGGAAAATAGAAGAAGGGAAACTGAAAAATTAAAAGCTTGGTGAATGTTATATCGATGCATTTCGAGGGCGTCGTTTTCTTTTTGAGCTTGGATTTTTCTTTTCGCTTTTTATGTATAATATTACACAATATTGTCACAAACTAAATGCAAATTTCGATGTTCGATACAACGTCGCAAAATGCGATTTGAACGAAATTTGTATCGCAAAAACAGGTACTACACGAGTCATTGGCGGGGGAAACGCAAGACAAAAGTACTTGGACGATAACGTTAACGATGTGGCTAACCTCCGTTTCGACGACTTTTTTCGACGGCTATCTACCAATTATAATAATAATAACATCCATTACAAAAAAATTAAAAAAAATGATATTAACATACACAATAATTTTTCGTATTAATACATAACCTTAATTAAATCGGTATTACTCAATCGCATTTTGCGACGTCTAGACGCGATAAAACGTTATAAACCAGCTTACCAGCTTATAGGTTACTATACCTATATTATATTTTACACACAAATTTCAAAGATTACCTTGGAAACGCATGATGTAGGTACTTATTTAATTGCATCGAGATGGGTTTTTTTACGTTTTCTGCACTTTTACGATTGTACAGTCGTTTTGCCGGACGTGGATCTTGGACGACACGGAGGTCACTTATTGGAACGCAACGAGCTCGATTTCGATATATCTGTTCTAATATCCTTTCTGCCCCCCCCTTCCCGTGCGAATTCGAATTGACGGATTTGTTACAATTCACATTCGTTTAGACGTTTACCAAAATTGTTGTTTTGCGCGAATAATTAAGTATTCATATTTTGTCGCGTTTGAGAATCGTCGACTGCACAAGGAAAATAAAAAAAATGACCTCAACAATGCTCCTGCTGGATTAAAAAATTCTGCAAGTAAGTTCTTATGAAGTTTTCGACTGGAATAAGATTGCTGATAGAAAAATTGTCTTACAGACACAAAGCGAAAGATATCATTGTAAAATTCGCTCAGAAATTGAAAAAAAAACCGTTGTTAATTGTGTACTGTGAAATTCGAATTTGTTAGGTCGTATTTGCAACATTTAATTGATGTAACTGCGAATGAGTCTTAAAAATAAAAAAAACGACAAACGTTAATATTATTTTCGTACTCACAAGACACGATTATCCCGTTAACGATCAAAAACATGTTGTCGATGTTGAATTTCAATGCGTCCAATTCGAGTTGCGTTACCATCAACGCCATCCCGCCGTCCGTGTTATTCGCCTGCAGCGTCGCGCTGTCGTTCCCGGCCATGGTATTGTCGTGTTAACGTCGTCGTAGCGAGTCGGCCGAAAAAACGAAATTTGTCTGGGGGGGGGGGGAGCTAGAGATGGAAAATTAAGAAATTAAAAACAATCGACGGACTGCAGTTGACTGCACACACGGGGATGGGAATCGGAGGCGTGCTTGACAATGACCCGACGACGATCGGGTGCGAGTAATTCGCAACGAGTGCGGTTCCGGAATGAGCGAAAACCAACCGCGAACTATAGTAAAAGTAGTAAAATATAATAAAGTAAGTATATAATCGCCCAACCCGTGCGATTAATGCAACTGTTCGCGGATAGGTCGTAACATTAAATACGAACACAAGAGTGGGCAATCGGTAAACAGCCATCACCACGATCGTATACGTTAAAAACACTGTGTTTAAATAATGCGCGCGCCGTTTTTTTTTTTTTTTTTTAATTTTTGCGAGTTTTTAACGTCATTGTCGAATAATATTGTTACCTACGGTTTTTTCGCCACGCGCCGACTGGAAAATATCCAATATAATATGATTTAGTTAATTACACTTTATTATCGTCTATGCGGCGGATTATTCTAGTGGAAAACAAATGAATTGCCGACGAATTACACGTTCGAAATGTATTCTTTTTCGAGAAAAACCGGTAAATAACTCCTTAAGAGGACGTTATATCCGCGTCTACTATCTCAGTCCAACTACCGGGTAACGTGCAAAAACAATAATAAGTAAAACTAGCTTAATTTTGATTGTACAGTAAAAGTATCAATTATGAAATTTATAGAGAACAATATTTTAGGGAGAATGTCATAAGACTTTTGTATTATACAAAATATACAGCTCGATGGAAAGGGTAGAAAAACTTTTTTTTATATACATATATAACCTTATATATACCTTTTTTAAATAACTATAACTTTTTTAATAGTTCATAATTCGAACACATTTCATCCAAAAGATTGCTCATTTTTTTTTTTTATTCACCATATATTCATATTTATTAAATAGAGGTTTGTTTTATTATATAAACTGTTGGTATATTATAATATGTTCTATTAAGAAGAACATTCTTTACTATTTTTATTATTTTTTAAAAAAGTAATACGTGTAAAATAATTTATTTTATATTACTATAAAATACAATATCCAAAGTATTTAAAGTATACAAGTGTATTATTATCAATATAATATGTGTTATAGGAACCAAAATCTAAAATAAAACTTCGGCATCTGCATGTTAAACTTATGGAAGAACCTAAGTAAACTACTGCTGTGCAGAAATCGATCAACCCCCCCCCCTCCGAAGAAAAATCCTAACTACGCCACTACAGTCTCGCCGTACCCAACTCAGAATCAAAACACAGTGACGTCGTGAACCGCGCGTTATGCTCGTTGTATACCTACTTAGACTAGCCAGCTGCAGCTGGGCACGTCCGAGACAAAACGGATTTGCAATTCGTGGTGTTTACTTGTTTAGGCGGTTTAAAATCCAAACACGTCGACGCGCAGCCGCAACTTATGCCAAATACTGTACGGATCCCACACAACAAACAAATGTATTTAAAATATTTATTAAATAAAAATGGCAATATTTAATAATCGTTTATGTTCATTATGTATATAATTTAAAACGTAAGTCATGTAAATATTTGTTGAACCAGAAACATTTATTTTGTAAATAAAAAACACTAAACATTTATTAAATATATGTAAACCAAAGTATTGTATTTTAATATTTCATAATTATTTATTTTAAGTTAATAAATATTTCATAACAATCGCAAAATATTTTTTTCAAAAGTTATAAGATACTTAAAAACCAAATTTAATTAGATTTATTTAAAAGATTAAAAAATATTTATTAATCGTGTAGAAAGTAATATGAAAATATTTATTTTGTTTTAATTAGGAGATGTTACATAGATATAAATTCAGTTATGAGAAGAAAACTGTACAATATAATAATTATAATTTCAAGTATAATTAATTTTCTTCAAAATTGTATTAGCACTTTTAGAGCCGACTTTTTGTAGCTAACAGACATCTAGACTCCTTGTTGGGTAATATTATAATATTATACTTGTACACTATAACTTTAATTATATGCTTTATAGAAGTATATATTTACTAGTCATAATAATAAGATACTTCAAACGGTAGGCTTTTCCGCACTGGTGCGGTTTTTAGCAGGCACACAAATGGTTTTCTTGTCGGGGGGGAAAAACTGGTGTTGCTTCACCTAATAAATATTTAATAGTTATCGGCTCAGCATTTATTATATTCATTAGAAAATAATCATAAAATAAATAAAAGCACTTATTATTTTGATATCAAAGCTTACAGGATTTTATCGGTAATGTAACATTTTTGTAATCAGAAAAGTCAAAGTCAACAAAACTCAAATATTGGATTGGAAGCGCAATTTTGTTATTGTTAAAATTGAATACTACATAACACTTTTGGTTACGGAATCCTAAAAACCGCCTCGGAAATGTACTCAAAATCTTCGTATAGCGATATTCGCTCGTCCGTGATAATGAAATAATCGCAAGCCCTGTATTTTTGATACATAAAACGATTATATATTATTAGAGAACGTGTTGTCTCGTTTGTAGATGCAAATGCCCGTCACGGCATTTGCATAAAATTAATTTCACATCCGACCGAACACCACCGCGACATAAACGACAACGCAAAACATATTAATGTTATTATTATCGAGACGACGGCAGTTTAATGATTTACCGTTTATGCGCTACAGTGCCAAACGATGGGACTGACAAGACGATAATAGTTCTACGGATTGTATCGAAATTATTATCACCGTGACGATGGTCGAGTTAAGAACGGCCAACAGGATGTTAAAGGCGTACGCGGTCTTGGGCTATTGCGTTGCTTCGTACGCCCTGTACGTGGAAATTTCGCTGGAAAAAGACCCGGGCTTTAAGCCGTTGTGCGACGTCGTGCAGTCCGTCAAATGTTCGCCGGCATTCGTTTCGCCGTAAGTTCAAAATACAATAACTACCGTAATATATTGTACATCGGGTACTGTTCCCTCTTCCCCCTCAAAAAAACCTCTACAAAATTTAGTATATATTTTTTTAGGTAAGTACACCGGATGTGAGAGGGGCGTTTTCCTCAGATTTCGAGTGTAGCGAATAATTTAAATAGTTTTGGCCAGTAAAAACACTCCGAACGTTTCATCCGCAGTACCTTCGTGAAGACGCATTTGCATTCGCGTAATAATTGTGCGTGTATTTTTTGAAGATGTGCTCGAAAACTTTAAATTTTATTACTAGCGGTCATATTATCTATTCGAAACGGAGTGGCAAAGCTAAATACGCATTTCGATTTCGCCTCAAAATAGTAGAATACCGACCGGTTATGGAATAATATATATTGTATCATATGCAGTGGCGGCGTGATAGGTTATTTCATGAGGCGATGGCCTCATGACCAATTGGGTGTTGGTGCCCCAGGCTAAAATTATGAATTATTGCCAACTGATACTTTATTCTTAATACTTTATTGTTATTCATATAAAGTAAATATATATTTAATATTTATATTAAGTTAATATATTATATTTCATTAATTCACTTTATCTTTCATGTATTAAATATCCACTGTTAAAGAAACCAGCAATCATTTCAATAAACCACAATTTTTGAGAAGAAAATAAAATTAAATTGTTGATTTAATTTATAAATTAATATTAAAAAAAAATTCTACAGACACTTAGACTTGGTCGAAAAGTCTTTTTACAAGACTCATAATTTTGATCATTAGTCCAATGTTCTCATGTATTTACGAATAGCGAAATCAAAAAAAGTTATAATGTATTATTAAAATATATGTAGTGTCTAAGTTTCTTAATTTTTCATATTAATAAAATATAAAATCATGATGACTTAAATTATATATTTGTGGAATGGTAAATTGGTGAAGATGGGGGGCGGGGTGGTGTGTGGGGATTCCGTCCTCACGACTCCGTCTAATAACACTTAGATGGCGGAGATCAATCTCTAAAATTCTTTTTTGTCTCATAATATAAAAAAGTTCACGCGGCCACTGATCGTATGGGAAAATGTTCCACGGAAGTAGAAAGAACGATCGAATTCGCGTATCACTTACGTTACAATTGTTCAAGTTCACCGAGTTTTTCTAAGGCTGTATCAGAAGGACGTTGCGAGTGCGTATGTTATAATATTTTACGACTACCTAATAACGCCATAAAATATATAATAATATGTTAAAATATTTAAATCGAACAAAACTAAACAATAGCCGACATTAGCGCGATAGTTTTTTTTTGTTCATATTTCGTGCCGTATTAGTAGAACAATTTATATTAAACATAGGTACCTATATTTACTTACTTGATAAAACTAAAGATTATAATACTTCAGATTCTAAAGCTAAACGAGGAATATATTGGGTTTTTTTTTTTTTTTTTGTAAACAACTTTTCTGCCAGAAATCACGCTCTGATCAAAAAAAACTTTTTAACTTTACGGGAACTTTTTTTTTTATAGAATTTATGATCTAGTTTGTGCATTGAACAGGTTTTTTATGAAATTTTTCTTAATTCTTATTTTTCCTTCTTTCTTCTATTTCATAAATAGACAAATCTAGCCATTTTTGTTGATTTTAAAATTGATCGGGTTACTTTGATAACGAGGAAAAAATATGAATTCGTTTCCTTTCACACTTCTTTCCTAAGAAAAGAAATATACCTCTTGTTAAATTTTCAAGCATTATTGTTTGGTCAAACAATTTTATCGACATAACACCTAGTAAATAAAAACTTAAAAAAACCCTCGAAAATGTTAATAGCTTATAAAAGGCTCAAAAATTAACAAAATGATTTAAAAAATTTCCTCGCTAATTTTGTCATCATACAGATGCATGTTTAAGATGATCGGTATCTAATCAAATAAGACGTGACATTATAAAAACTTGTTTCTGAATGTTTTACGCGTACACGTATAATGATAAAAATCGTTCTTTAACCATTACACGGTGTAAAATAGAAATTCGATTATTGTTTATTAGCCGGATGAATGAAACGCTGCCCGTGTTGGAATAATCTTTTGATCCAGCAAAACATGTGGAGATTTTGGTTTTATAATGGGTAGCAACGGATCTGGGAGAATTTTCATAAAAGATCCGTTTCAATATTGTAGAATGAAAATGCAATTTTCTATCAAGAAAATTATTATTTAAACGATGAAAAATAAATCTGAACCATATAACAACTCCTCCGTTTTGATCGAGAGTTTTTAAAACGAACTTCGGTCATATGTTTTTAATTTTGATTGGTTTTTCATTACAATTACGTGACTAAATTTCCAACCTTCGGACACGAGTATAAGTCACAAGATATAAGTTTTTCTTGCAGCTACAAAAAATAAATAATTTTACACACATATTTTTTTTTGTTACACTCGTATAATAGTTTTATATTCATAATCAAAATAGTTTTTGACCCGTATCGAATCGAAAAAAGCGGACGGTTTCGTATGTATTTCAAGATGGTACAAAAATCACCCACAATTAGCTAAAACGCTTTTGGTCTGTCGCTAGAAAAAAATCTCGATTTTTTTTTGTTTTTGTAGCGACAGGTCGATTTCAATATACGACGAAGGACTTCCGGCGATAATTTAACGAGCGGCGGCGATCAAAGGAGGAAATGATCGTTCAAACGATTCGGTGTACGGGAAACGGTCAGCGAATAATATTCGTATGTCCGAGCAATAATCAGTAAAAACAGAGGCGGCGGCAAGGTCGATAGGTGTTCGATTACGATTTGAAAACTCGGACGGGGAACACCGAAAACGCACTCTGACAGACGATCATCGGATTATATGTATTAGAAAAAAAAAAAAATTGTATACAAATATATGCATTGGAAATTTTCATGTAATTTACAATATTAATATCACCTTGAACGCCGTTACCGTGTTCGCGCGATCTGCTACAGTTTTCGGTGTCTATTTGTTTAGACGCGAAAACCAAATTATTGTATGTATACTGGTACAACGTGGTATATCGTATTCTTTAATCTGCCTCCATAAATACGCACGTGTACCTTACCGACCATACATTTCGGTGGAGAGGGGGGTGTTGAACCCCAAAACCCTCCCCTATAATGCACAATAACAATAGATACCTGTATTGGCTACATTTTTATTACATAGTATGTTCAAGTGAGGTACTGTGTATAGAAATGTGTAACGTAATAATATATGAGCTTTTATAAACTTTAGTACATAACGACACTTGTAATTGGTGGCAATTGGTCGATGATAATGATACACGCGCTCTTACAAGCAATCGCAGACCGCAGTGATATTTTTGATATTGGCATTTTTGATTATTGTTTGTAATAATAAATGCCCATTATAATATTTATAAACGTAAATAAACGTAGGTAGTAAAAATAACTTTTAATTATAACGGCCAAATCAACTACGTAACTAGTGATAATAACCTTCATTTATATTTATTCTAACTGCCAAAATAATTCAGATAATAGTCTAAATTTTTAGTAAATTTAACTCTTCGAAACCATAAACTAAATAACATCGATTCTCAAAGTTACAATTCTAATAAGTTATTTCAATACCTTCAAATAGTTAAGATACTATACTTAGATTAATGCTTCATTTCAGTTAATTTGACTGACAAATACAGTTAACTTCAATTTTAATGGTTAAGACTAGTGATGGGCACAATTAACTTATTTATTATTACCGATCATTAGTAGGTTTTCATCGAATACTACCGACAAATTAGTCGACTAAAAATTTACACAACTAACTAATATAGAAATTTTTGAAATAAGTTGACTAATTATTCGTTAGTCGACTAAATTAATCGTTAGTTATTTAGTCGACCAAAATTAGTCCTTAGTCGTTAGTGGAATAAATTATCTTGTTAGTTGACTAAATTAGTTACACAGTAATATTAACTTAGTCAGTAGGAATTAGTCGGTTGTGTTTATCTCTAGTTAAGACCATAGTATGGAGTTAAATTAATTATCCCATTTCTATGTATGTAGTAACACTTGCTTATATAACTACAATTCCTATTAATCCCTTTTTGTCTGCATTAAATATTATTGGCAACTCCTTTTAAACAGTTTGAAAATTCCAGTTCTCTTGCCTAAATAATATTAAAATAAACCTAATGGATGTATTTAATAAATTAAATTCACTTAACATAAAGTCTGGTATGGTTCCCGATTGTGTATCTGCTTTTTCCTAAAAAAAAAAAATGCGCATTTATTTTGTCACCCGTCATTCTTATTTTATTTAATAATTCATTAAGAACTGGAAAATTTCCTGATTTTTGGAAAACAATGTTTATTACACTTATTTTTAACAAAATATGACCGGGAAAAGATTTGTAATTATATACCAATTTCAAAAATGTCTTTAATAGCAAAAATATTTTCAAAAATTATACCTCTAAAAATAACACCTTTTCAGGAAAGTTCTTCTGAAAGGATAACACGGATTTCATAGTATTCAGCGATCTACTTTTACTCATATGACGATTTTTAAACAATCTATCATGGATTCCTTTGCCTCTAGTTCTCAAACAGATGTAGAAATTACTGACTTTGAGAAAGCATTTGATTAAGCGAATAATAATTTGTTGATATAAACTTCCCTCTTGGCTTCATTCGTGTTTAGTTAATAGATCACAAAATATAGAAAATTTTAAAAATTTTAATCAGACATTATTAAAGTAGCTTCAGGCGAACCTCAAGGTGACATTTGTCTACACTTTTTTTTTTTTATTTATAATGGATATATTAAATGTTATAAAATATTACTATTAGCTAATGATGGAAAATTATTCAAACTTATACGAATTCTCTCGGATACTATTTGTCTTCATTCTGATATCGGTGGTTTTTTCTTCGTCAATCTGTTATTTATTATTTATACTATATGTAAAATGGAGTTCTGTCCCCATAAATAAAAAATATTGTTATTATAATAACGCTATTATTCCGAGAATACGTTATCACCACTGTAGAACGCAATAGTAATATTTATGCTCGGAATAGCTAAATTATTAGCCGTCGAAACACACGTAATTTAGAGGAAATTATGCTAAAAATATTACAATAAATACCTACTGAACTATAATAATCACGGTGAAAAAACTATTGAATAATAGTCAATGAGTCGTTACGACTACTTGTGTGACGGACAATAAGACACCTATTTACCGTTAGATAATAGAAAAAAGGTCAAATCGGACACAGAGCCGAAAACGCGTGTTTTTCGCGTTATTAGGAGTTTAGAAGTAATTTTGAGACATTATTTTAGGTTTAAAAAGAGATAGAACTGCGAATTATTATTTTAACAATCGTATGGTTTTTGTAGTGTTTGTAATAGTAAACAGTAAAAATGTTGTTGTTTGGTCACTATTGCAAATTGGAAGTTCGGAAGGTATATATGATTATAGGTTTTGTCGTAGATAAAAATGATAGGTTATAACCGATATAACATTAGGTATAATATATTATTTGTCCAACGAAAAATGTTTGAATTTAAATATAATTTCGATTTTTTGGCCTGTATTATTATTATAAGTATATTTAGATTATCATTACAAGTCAAAGTAAATAAGATATTACATTATTCAGCTGCCCGGGTTTAATCCGAGATAAATTAATTATTTAACATCGCGGAATCGTCGTGTGTCACGGTTGCAATAAAAATGTTAAGTAAAAGTTGCTAATAATAACTGGTTTTTATACATACTCGTACTTTATTATCACTTAATTATTCCGACATCGAAAACTTTATAATAATTATTATTTGTGTGGCGAATGCGGTATTTCTGTTTGTCACATAAAACACAACATTTTTGAATAATTTCACGACCTATCGAATGTCTTGAAAATCAATAATCATTTAAGGACGCCGGCAAAGAATTAAATAAGTTAATTTATTTAATTTAAAAATAAAAATGCACATAAAAACTATTATATTACGCTCAACTTTTTTTTACTATCAAGTAAAACTCATGGAAAAACTTGCATTAAATGTCCAAGCATTTATTTTTGGCAAAAACAGTTTTATCAATATAAAACCAAATAGAAACTAAAAAGAAAAAAAAACTAGAAAGCTAGAAAAGCTTTGATCTAAGTTTTCTGTGAAAATGTTTGGTCTCCTTGATTACCTGGTTTTAACCGAATAACCAAACAACAACAAAAAACAAAATAACAAAATCATTACTGTGGTAGACTTTATTGTTTTCCAACGTTTTTATAAGGTTTATAAAGCCTTATAGGTTTAATAAGCTTTATTTCACAGTTTTATAAGGAAAATAAAAAAACAGTCCTAGGATAATAGAGACGGGTGCAGCCACTGTTGATGGTGATAAATTGGGAATGTAGGATATAGAGGGGAAAATAATTTGTATTTGCAGTAAGCAACTATAAACCATTGTCTACTAAAAACGATTCTGAGAGAGTTCAGTTGATTCTTTGATAGTGATGCTTTGTGAACAACACATATGTCATATTATGATAAAATAAATTAAATAGTTATTATATATTTTCTTTAATAATATTTGTTTAATATTGTACCGATTTTCCCATTTTTCCCATGTTTTTTCGCGGTTTTTCACATTTGCTGGGAAAACCCTCGGGAAAATCAAAATAATGACTTCCCTTAAGTACCTGTCCAGTTAGATTTCCTTTTATAATAAGTGCTATCATTATAAGTCGGATCAAAATTGTTAGTAGAAAAATTGTTCACAAAAAAAAAAAAATATAAACATCTTTGTAAATCCATAAGCTTCTTTGATCCACTCAGAATCTAAAACAACATCTTCAATGCACTAACTATACTAGATTTACTCTTAGAAAAGACGCTACCCTATGAAATCGAAGCGAGATTTTTGGTAGAAATTTGTTCCTGGATATAAAAAAAAAAATGTTAAAAAAAATCATACATCATATACTTATACATATACATTCGTCGGTGCACTTATTTGAAATATTACTTACTAGATAGTAGGATACTGGTCGTATTACTTAAATATTCTTTCCTTCTGATAGCTGAGTCAACCCAAAAATCAACCAAGTAAAACAATCGTATCGACATTTATTTTTTTAAAAACTGTATAAAAATTAGTTTTAAAATAAATATTTCCCATCTTTAAATGTGCTCCATGAAAAAAATGTGAATATTTTTACTAACAAAAAAAACAGCGTTTTCCGAGATAAATAACCATGTTGTAGACTCATAGTGACTTATTCGCTGTATTCGAAATCTAAAAAAACAAATATATTATTATACAATATTAATTCGGGACGGAACGATTTCATGAGGACGACGTTTTTAATTTGATAACGCGAACGTAAAACGTGCGCCTAGTAATTCGTGTAAACGCAATGCGCACGTGCTCGGCTGTCTATAGATATGCCGATCCGAGATTCACGTGAGTATTTCGTTTGAATTAATTACTAAAAAAATAATACTATAACACAGTAATAATGTATTATACTGACACTATTATAGTTATAGTGTTATACGTATGTAATAATTATGGCATAGGACATGTAGTTCAATAAAAAAACGAAATATACAAGCACTTATGCACTTAAAACTCCCAAAAATAGTATGCACTAAAAATAGATTCTACACATTTTTTCCCAGAGATTTAATTAAAAAATATTAGTTATTTAAAATTATAAAATAATTACCTACCTAATTTAATAATATGCCACCACGTTATGACCAAACAAACAAAAAACAATTTCGTTTTAATGAAACCTATATTTTTTATTGATTAAATTAAGTAGACATTAGTAGTTACATTAGGGAACGTCGATTGATTTTTAAATATATTTAGTTTAACATTGCTTCTTTTGATATTAAAAATACATTTTAGATTCTGGGTGGTGCGCGAAGAAGTTTATAGTTTTACAAAGATGTTTATTTTTTAAATTTTTTTATGTGTACGCAATTTTTCTACTAGAAGTCTTGCTTGGATTTCTACGTGTAGCATCATTTCTGAAAGGGAAATCGGCGTGGGGAAGTACTTTAGGGAGGTTATTATTCGATTTTCTCAAACGTTTTCTCATCAAATTTGGAAAACCTAATAAAAACTGGAAAATATAAGAAATGTAGGTATCGGTGAAAATATATTACGGCCTTCTTTTTTTCTATGCACAACTTTTCAACCAGCAATGTTTCACCATATTTTTATGACAATAATGTTTCTAAAAGGATATTTCATTAAGAAGATACTTTATGAAGGTCATTTTTTAGTTTTTCTGAGAGTTTTCTCAGCAAATGTGAAAAACCGGGATAAAACATGGGAAAACTGGGAAAATCGGTACAACATTAAGCAAATATTATTAAAGAAAACATATAGAGCTTATTTAATTATTTTACTGTAATATGGCATATATATTGTTGACAAATCATTACTATCAACTGAACTTCGCTCAGAATCGTTTTGTCCTAAGCAATGGTTTATCATTGATTTCTTACAGATATACATTAAATTATCTATAACAGTGGCTGCACCCGTCCCTGGATACCCCGTTATCCTATGACGTTTTTTTTTATTATTTATTTCATTAATGATTGTCGGTTTAATAAATGTTATTTTTTAAGAAATTGTAGCAGAAAAGCTCGAAAAATTTATAAAACTAAAAAGCATAAAAAAAAAATCTTAGATGTGCAACAAAAAAATAATAAATTTGGCTTTATTGTTACATGTTACAAATTTCTTTCAAATTAATTATTTTTTACGACTGCGTAAAATAATTATGTAAATTTCTCTAGACCACACTGCAATCAAAATATCTGCGGATATAATTATTGGCGTGGCTAACGTTTTTTTTTTTTTTTTTGATAGCGGCTTAGGTATCATCATTTGTGTGTTATAAATTATATTATTTTTTAAATGATACAATGATGGAGATTTTATTGAAGATGCCAAAAATCGATCACTTTTGTCGTGGGCCCATTAGCTCAGTTGGTTAGAGCGTCGTGCTAATAACGCGAAGGTCGTGGGTTCGATCCCCCCATGGGCCAGCAACAATTTTTTTTTCGTTTTTTTTTTTTTCATTTTTACCATCGTAGTATTGAACATCCGAAACGATTATAAATTCTAAACCAAACAAGGAATGAATCAATTTTATTATGAAGTCGCTTTTTTTTTTTTTTATGTGTATGTTTTAATCCATCGTTTAAATTCTGAGCGGAGCGACGAATGTATTGGTTTTACAATGATGTTTTTTTTTTCTGACCCATTTTTCTACCAGAAATTTTACTCTGTTATTTAAGTGTAACACTTTTTCTGAACTTTTTCTGGGGTTTTTCTAATAAATGGGAAAAACCGGGGAAAATGTCGGAAAAACGGGAAAATTCACGAAATTTATTATTTTCAAATTGTAAATCTTCAGACCTTTCAAAACATGTATAACTGAATTCTGCTCAAAATCATTATAACATTTTCAGTATATTCGGTGCATTTTGGCGGTCGTATTTTGATTTTCCTTATGCTTTTCTGATGAAATGGGGAAAACTAACATTTTTTGTGTAATTTTTGTTGGTTTCTGGATTATCTTAGTGTCAAGCGGAAATTAGATGACTAATATTAGTATCATATGATACTCTACTCCTCCCTTCGAATTTCTGTCCTAAAACAGTGTCACACCCATCAATGGTATCAGCATTGTTTTTATGCACACAATATACTAAAATAATTCAAACTATAACGATGATGTTATTTTAAGGAATTTTGGGTTTACTGTACACATTTGTCTTCTTGTTGTTTTTGTTACTAAAAATTATTACTACTGACCTACCTTACCAGAAAAAAATCCCCCATTTTCTACGGGTCACGTCCAAATTAGTTACTATTTTTCTCAAAAAAAATTACGAGGCGACTTTAAACTGATGATTTATTTGTCCGCAGGTACGCCAAAGGTTTCGGAATCGTCGGACACCTGTTCGGCGATGATTTCTTCTTAAACGTGCCCAACGGTCTCGTCGGAATGTTGTACTACGCCATTACTTTCGTTTTGAGTACGTTTTCAGAACATTTTTTTAATCAAATAATATTTATTTTACAAAATTAATCGTTTCGAACGCAGTTTTTTTCCCCCTTAGGTAATTTTTTTCAATTCTGTTCCGCAGGTTTTACGGACGACCGCTGGGCCGTCACTGCGCATTACTACCTGACGATCGCTTCCAACCTGTCGTCGTTTTACTTGGCGTTCGTGCTGGCGCTGATCATCCGGGAACTCTGTCTGGTGTGCCTGGCCACGTATCTGATAAACGCGGCGAGCGTCGTCTGCGTAGTGGCCAAACTCCGACGAATCAAGAGTCGCCATTCACCGCAAAAGCCGAAAAGCGACTGAGAATAAAAACTGTACGCAATTCAAACTGCGGCATTCCGACGACCTCGCGATAAGCAATCATACAACGAGCGTCTATACAGTTTTTCTTCAACGAAGTGCGTCTACACAAATGATTCGTGACAAATGTTTCTATTTGGTCGGAACAAATAAATAAAAATAATAACAAATTCGCATTCCAGAACCTAATCATTTTACCGCAATTTAACCTTCAAAATTCGAGTATGACACGTTCGAGTTTTATAAATCTGCTTTACCGCGTTCGTCTAATACTCGTTTCCAGTGTAATTTATATTATTTATTTGTACGATTTTAACGTCAGTTCCTTTATAGTAAAAATCAAAAATTATTAATTAAAAATTAAGTTCGATTTTTATTATAGTTATAAATATGCATTTTAACTAAAGGTATTTTTTTTTTTTTTTTGCTTATTATTCTTTGAGTAATTTTCAAAATACAAATGTTGTTCATGAGAAATATACTCAGTCCGGTCGTAACTGGGTGTTTTTAATTGTGTACATACCCTAACCACTAATTGTCTGATTAATTACGAGGGGAAAATAGAGCAGGGTGAAGTAGCAGTTTCAGAATTCGTTTGGTAGTTTAAACGGTTTTTGTTCGATCATCTAAAACTGTGAAAAGCCGACTTCGGGGAGGGGTTCTGAAATGAGCGATTCGGTCGTTTCCATCGACTTATTCGCCCGTCTAATACGCATCGTATTATCGGTCTCGCGATAATATTATGTTCTAAAAAGTAAAACGTACATTGACAAAATGCGGTTTATTTTCATTTTTTTTTTTTCACGCGAACACGATTAATAACGATACGGTTTTAAAACAGCCGACGACGACGGGAAAACGTCCGCAGGTCTCGGCGTGGGCGAGTCGCGTATCGCCCGTCGCGGGAACAATCGCGTTTCGCGTTTTCATTATCAAAACGATGACGACGATGATAACAATGTTATTATTATATTGTGACGACCGCCCGGTGCGGGTCGCCGCGGACGGAGATCACGGGCGACGGGCCCGCGGAATGTCGGGGAGGAATCGGATTTTCGTTTCGTTTTGTTGTTTTTTTTTTTTTTTCTCTTCTGTTCCGCCGTTTTCAATTCGGGAGTGTCCCGCGTCGCGAAACGCAAACAATACAACAACGCGCGCCTCGCACACGCGCCATATTCGTCGGAGGTCGCCAAAAACGAGCGTGGCGTGGTGTGCGCCCGTACACCTATTATTATGTTATACGGTCGCGACGACATTGAAAACGGTCCGCGAAATCGGCTTTGTGATGTTATGTGAAAATGCGCGCGCGAAACACACCTCGTCGGCGAGGCGGTAAAATATTCCTTTTTTTTTTTTTTTTTATTTCTAGTTTTCATATTGACCCGTCCGAAACCCGGCGGAGGCGTATTTTTCGCCGGTTATTACAGCCGGACGTCATATACCCGACCAGCGGTTGAAAGTAGCGGCACTGGTCGGGATAGCGTACCGCTTCGTTTAGATAAGTAGCGCATGGCACAGTTATTGGCTGCGTTTTTCATAGGGGTAAACGGCGTACATTTCGCTACTTTAAGCGCCACTTCTTACCGAAATCAAATATAATGAGATATTAAATAATTTTGAATTATATCTATTTTTATTTTTGTCTATAGGAAAATATGTATACAACATTATGTATTGTAATTTAGCTGTCAATTAATAATGTTATAACATGATATCGTAAGAATTAGTATTTAGGTACATTTTTTACGATTGGCAAAAACAAAACAATTTTCAAGTCAAAAAATGTAGCGCACTACCTACTTAAAAAAAGCGAATTTTGTAGCGACCTACATTCATAAAAAAAAAAAATTAGCGATGATTGTAGTGAACTTCTTCTTTTAGAAATGTAGCGATAGTGGTAGCATACTACATTAAAAGTAGCGATTTCCAACCACTGTACCCGACACGATTTCGAACGACGGCGGACGTGGAAAGAAACGCACGAATGCTGGTTCCCGATAAAAATATTCCTATTTATTATACAATGTATTATTAGGTATCTAATATCATTATAGAACCACGCGAGACTGCAGTTCGAATTGTTACCCGGTGCGTAAAAGTAGTTTTTGAACAGCGAGTTTAATCTGCACGTTTTGTATGTATCGACGGGAAATTTGAACCGTTCTCGTATCGTCAAAACCTATATAGGTAGTACTGTAGTAGGTATAGCCAGTAAAATTGTTAAACCCACACCATCATACAGTTTTGTCTGGTTCTTCGGTCTTTTTAAATAACAACAATCGCTTTAAACACGAATTTCTAGTACCCACGTTTTCTAGACAATCATGGGTAAATGGGAAGACAACATTGTCGTTCGTTGTGAATATGTTTTAATTATTAAAATATCACGGTCAATTATTTGAGATTAGAGGAATCAGAAGCAGAAAGAATTGTAATGGAAATAAACGTAGGAAGAAAGAGGGGGAAAGGGAGGCCGAAAAAGATGTGGTTGGATGCGATTGAGAATGATAACGGGGACAATAGGTGTATGCAAAAACGATGTGGGAGATCGGGTCGAGCAGAAGTTTAGGACGAGAGTATGGCTAACCCCAAACAATCCAAATATCTCATGGGATGAAGGTGAAAGAGAAGAAGAAGAAGAGACCTAACCTATAGACTACTTGCAGGAAACCAATTCGTTAATTGAAAATCAACTTTTAAAATAATTTACAGAGCGTATCCAAGTTTCGCCTAAGCGGCATGTAAATACGCAATCTGTCGTACTGAACAAGATAAAGTAAATATCAAAAATTAAGAGTAATAGTTCTTAATATAAAAGCCAAAAGGTTGATAACGAGAAGTCGAGAAGAAGAATATAATAAATAAAACATAATATGAACTGTTGTAAGTACCGGTAAAAAATAAATTATGTTTTTCAAATGTTCGCGCAAAACTATAAAACGAAAAATATATTACCATCCGGTTGGCCTATATAAGCTGAACACTGATATTATTAAGACAAGAGATAAAATAAATATAAGAGGTCACAAATTTTGTATTAAAAATATAATGATACAACGTGATATATCATGTGATTTTATCAAAACGTTTTGCCGACAACATTTTTATATTATTATATTTTTTAAATACAATATTTAATTAAAAGATAAAATTCGTTTTCACAATGTTGTTTGCCTTTAACTACTTATACAGCAAAACAACGATCGCGATGTTGCGAGGCTAAAACAAAACAAAACTGTGAAGTGTTATTATCATTCCTAAGACCGAATTTTTTCAAAAGATAAAAGGTCGACTATTCAGACATAACTAAAAACAGTTTCTGATTTTTTCAATAGAGACGATCAGTGCTTACGTAACGCTCTTTTTGTCGGTCTGTTATCAGTAATAATTGGATCATTTGGTTCCGAACGAGTCCCATTAACACATATATTATTAAAATATGAATCGGTACTTACAAACTAAGATTTCACTATTATTAAAAAATAATTACTCAAATGAAGATTCAGCAATAAAATGAAAATATCTAAGTAGGTCAGGTAAAGCTTATTAAAGCTTAAAGTGCAGAATATAAGAATTTCAAAGTTACTTTATATAACAATTAAATATTTGTTTGGAACCAATCTTTACTTGATAATGATTGTTATCACATAATATGACGTCACACTTATTGCTTATATAATTTATACATATAAATTAACATGTTCTGATTGACTGACGCCACTGACTTACTGACTGGCTGATTCATCATTGCCTAGCCAAAGTCACTGGACTCGGATCGTGCTGAAATTTGGTATACAGATAGCTTTTACGACGTAGGCATATGCTAAGATAGGATTTTTGAAAATACAATTCCTAAATAGGTAAAATAGGGATTTTTTGGTATTTTTGATACGAAAATGTAATTGTTTATTTGTTTATTTTTGATTATTCATGGGTTACCTCGGTAACATGGATAACAATATTTAGTTGATACGAACAAGAAAACTATTATTTACTATTATTTACTAACACAACAGCAAAACATTGTTGGGTTAGCTAGTAAACAATATAAAACGTCGTGTGAAAAAAAAACCGTTAATTATTTTTCTTAATTATATACTAAAATTACATGCACTATTTCACGCAAATAAATTATTAAAATGCGCAGTGAATAAATGTTTTTTTATTATATTTTTGAATCCGTACAGTGTACGCGACGGATCGTCGAGTAGCGTTATACCGGGCCGGACACCGACGGCCGGTTTGTTTACTTGACCGCCGCGCTATCTGTCGGTATCGTTTTCCGCCGTTAATGGAACGGACGTGACGCCGACAGAGACCGCGGTCGTCGACCGCTATCCGCTCGATCGCCCGTCCGTTTGCGACCCGTCCGTAGAACGCCGTTTTCCGGTCGACCGATTGTCATACTGTGACGAAAATCAAACCAAAAGACGTGCCGACTCTCGGTACGTTCTGGATTTTGGGTCTCGTTGATGTCCTGTAGTCAGGGTTATGGCGAAACGTCCGGAAACAACGACGTTCTACCGTGTGTTCATTTGGCGCCGACTGCATGGTATATATACGGCCTACCGAAGAGCAAGTGGACGGGAGTGGTGTGTCCAGTGATGGCATGCTGAACATCGATCCCTGAGTGAAGTTTAGGCCGATCTGCTCATGCGTGTTCCATCACATGTTCCGGTGTCGCGGTTTTGGAGGACACTCCCGATGCCGCCCGCGCCGCCCGGTCGCAGTGTCCCGACACAATCCTGACGACGCGCAATGGGTTTCTTCCGCACAGAGAGGCACACTGTACCCGTATGCATTCGAACGCGCGCGTTGTTCCCACACACATCCCAAAACCGGCCTTGCTGTTCGCAGGTTGCCATTTTTTTTTTTTTCAGAAATTTTTAAATATTTCCACACTCGATTTCGTACGAGATTATCCGCGCGAATATTTTGGTATATTACCATTGACGAAATTCTTAATCACCTATTCTGCGCGGGTTCTTCGTATTTTCGGTTCGGTTTCGTTTTATTTTATTTTATTTTACAAAAAACAACGAATACGAGTTTAAATTATACGCGTGGATTATTAAAAAATTACCGAACGAAACAATTATGTAATTTCTACAATGTTTTCGGGTAAAATACTATATTCATTGTACTGATGTTATTATATTCGGATGGGTAGGTAGGTAAGTAGGTAGATACCTATAGGTAGCGGTCGAAACCAGTCGACGGGGGGTCGCAATTTTTTTTTTCCGTCAATAATCGATTCGCGAAATTCCCTATAAGATCTCAATACCGTATTATTCTCAAAACACGTCGTCCGGAACATTCATTACACCCGGAATTACTGGTTTTTTTTTATTTTTTTATGATACGATATTTTACGATACGCGTCGCTGGAACACGTCTTCCTTAAATCCTAAACACCTGAACTCATTCAGAATATATTTAAATGTGTGTGCGTGTTGTCATATCGTTACGTTATCCCGAGTAACGTTTTGAAATTTGGAAAAGAACCAACGGGACGAGATCGAAAATAATCAAAAATATAAAACTATTGTAATTGAGTGTGTGCGCCACTAGTCAAATGCGCTGAAAAATTCCCGCGCGTACCGCGACCGCGGTGGCGCGATGGCGTTCGCGAGACGTTACTAACCTACCCGTCAGGGGGTTCGACGATGGAGTGCACGATTATATTTTTCGCATCATTTTTCTTGCGTAATCACGCAATTTTCGTCAACTGTACACACCCACGTAATTTTTACGTAACAGCGATATACTCCGAAAACGTATTTTCGAGTTTTTGCATAGGCGCAAAGTATTAGTCCAAAGTGTATTAGGTGGATTCAACGCCGTCAATACGGATCCTGAGCGCATCGATGAATACCCAGTGAAAACCCTTCGTAACGAATCTTGAGGGGGGGACCGAGAAATTTCGTTTGTCACAGAGAGTTTTCCGCAATAGACTAGGTCAAAGAACTAATGCACACGGGGTTGTAAAGCGAACCAACCGTTATTTAGTGATTTACATAAGGTTTTGCACCGAAAAGAGTTTCGTTGTTTTCACTGCACTGGTTTTAAATATATTGTAAATAAATACATAAATACAAAAATGTACACATAGAACTAAAAAAAATTGCCTATATAGATATACAAAAAAAAAGAAAAAACGAACGCGTCGCCCGGAGTGTTATGATATAGTAATGCATTATCCGACCGTTTTCGAATTGAAAAATTAACGATCAAGTTTTCTATTTGGACTATTAAAATAAAACACTCCGCGTGATGCATTCATTCGTTTCTTTGTTTCATATATTTCTACGTATACATACACATTTTTTTATTTATATATATTTATTTACGAGCATTGATCATTTCAATTAATTTTGTTTTTACTTTATTGTTTTATTAGTGTATTTGGTACTCTACAATATCCTACAAAAAATGTAAAATACGCTAAGAACCGTTTAGAATGGGATTTTTGTTATTGTTATTGTCATTTTAGATTCTGAGCGGAGCGGTAAATGTACTGGTTTTACAATGATGTTCATTTTTAACACTTTAATTTCATCCTTTAATTTTTTTTTTTTTTTTTGGTGTACACTTTTTCTACCAGAAATCATACTCCGATTATCAAGTACACAGCACCTTTTCTGAAAGGAAAAGATTTCCCGGGCGGTGCTTTGAAGGGACAGTGTTTTGAAATTCTCGTAAGTATGTTCTTACGCGCCTACACATTCACAGAGTAACCCTGCAAGCGCATAGCTCACCAACTTCGATCGGCGGCCGCAGTTTTATTGTACAATAATTTTAACGGAACCCACCGATCGGTCGTGTTTGGCGCAGTGCGACCCGGGCAAAATAATGCAAAGACCGACTGTCGGACGTCATCACCGGAGGGCGGCAACGACGGCCGCCCCCGGATCGGGCGGGAAACGTGTACAGTATTTTACTACGCGCGTTTTGGCGCGGACGACAAACACGGTTGTCGAAACTGGGTTACCGGGACGGCGGGGCTGCCGAATTCAGGTCGTGTCACGTCCGTCCACGGACGTTCGGGCCGCGGGCACTAGGGTATCAGCCGTCGCGCGGCCGTCGGGTGCTCCGGTGTCGGCGGCAAAGGATACGGGCGGCGAAGGACACGGCGGCGGCGAAGGAGGCGGCGGCGGGGGCCGCGACGACAGCGCCCTCCGCAATATGGGACCCTGGTGCTCGCCGAGAATTCGTAATACTTGGATTGCGCAACCTGAACGTCTCGGGTTTACCGTACACCGAGTTTATTACTCTGACTGCAACTACTACGGAAACACATTCGCGGAACGCGTGCGGTGCATAGCTACAGGGTGGCGTGGTCGCGGCGTCCCGCGCAACAATGTTATTGCTGCGCGCGACGGGCCCGTGCGGATTTTCAACGGTCAACAACGTTTTCGCCGCGAAACATTTGACGCGGGCACGCCATTATTGCGTCGAATTTTCGTAATCGTTTTGGGAAACGGCCGTTTCCTAAAAATAAAACGCCAATCGAACAGTGCGATTTTTACCGTCGAAACGGACTCGAAATCTACACGCTGACGCAGCGTGTCGGGTACGCGATCCAAAATTGACAATTTGCAGGCCGACTGTTGCGGTGGAGGACGGTGAAGAGTATGACAATCGAAAAACGTTTAAACGCTCAGCGCGTCCATAAAACGCCCGATTACGCGTCATGTTAATCGTACGGTCGCAGCTACATCGATTACACGTTTACCAGTTCGTGACATACGTGGAATGTACGAGTCCGGTACCGAATATCGGCCGACGTTGGCGATATCGGAAAATCGGCTATAGGTTTTTTTTCTTATTTTTCTAACCGATATCAGACGCGATATTTTTCGAAAAAAGAGGCGCTCGGGTTTTATTTTTCTTGCGGAAAAACGGTGTTTTCGATGCGCACAGTTTGAACGATCGGGCGGAAACCGGATATCGGATCGGCTGTCGGACGTATGTATGGAAAAAATCGAAAAAAAAAAAATCGGTTTGTCGGCTAGCGGAAGAGGTTCAGATTAAAGGCTCGCCTCCAATCGGAACGCCGCCGTCGACACACCCTGTACAACGGCACGGTGCGGTCGGTCGTTAAAAACTGCAGCGGCCACACGCGCACGCGCACGTTTTTGGCGAGATGCTGCGCGACCGCACGACAGCTGTTGTTTGTTGTGACCGTTCGTATTCAACAGGCGGTCGCGACCTTGCGCCCGGAATTTTATTATTATGGTTTTTCCGTTTTTTTTTTTATTTTTCTTCTTATTTTTATCGCCCGTCATTGTCGTCGTCGTAATTAAACGCGTCACCCCGGCGGAATCGATTGTCCGCGACGTGGGCGGACGTCCGACCCAGAAACGCGGACATTTCCGCGCGAACGCCAACCAACAAATTTTAAGTGCATTTTGTACTCGTTGTAAGTCCGACGCAATAATATCATTAACACGGCGGTCTGGCGAAAACACACGCGACCTACGGTTTTTATACGGAGGGTCCTCGACGGCCGACGTCGAAATCCGCGGATTGTGTCGAACGCGATTCGCGGCACGTGGGTGTGCGCATTTTCGTTGTTGTGTTGAAACCAAATAGTTTCGCAACCGCGGCGCAATATAATAATAACAGGTTCTGTTCCAACCGGTGCACGCCAATTGCGTCCCGAAATCCCTTTTCGCACACGAATCGCGCCCCGACGTAAAGCCATTACTTTCCTTCCCATTTCGTACGGACTTACGGACTGTCAACGGTAATCTATTACTGTGGACAGGTTAAAAATATTGATTTTTTCCGTTGTTACGCAATTAGAAGTAATGCAATGTAATAATTATAATACAAAAAAAAAAAAAAATGTTTAAATATTAACTATAAAAATTAAAAGACTGGTAAGAACTTGAACGATGTCTTTTTAAAAATAATCGAGAAGAGTTAACTGGCCATTTTCATATTTTGCAAATATATCGATTTTTTTTTTTATTTCGGGACGCAATTCGTGTGCAGCCGTTCCAACACGCGTTCAAACTATCAACTATCGCACAACTGGTGGGCGCATGCGCAGTAGAGTGTTGCCGTTCCAACACGCCAAAAACGCAAACGCAAACTGTCAGACGGTCAGGGACGTACCTTAAAACGATATCTGTTGACTGAATTAGCATTATACTAACTGGCAATTTCCGAGCTAAATAATTAGCTTTTGGTCGCTTAAATAATTTCACGCTACACGTACGCGTATTCGAGATTGCGATTTATTTTAATAATTAAAAACAGTTTTACTAATGTAAATGCCTGCATATGAAATCGTAAGAGTTTGAATTTTTTTTGGTGATAAATAATGCATTGCGTTTCCGAATAAAACCATCGGCAGCTCCGAAACCCGTTAGCCTACGGTGTTGTTGATAAGAGTGGAGACTTTCAGGGTGTCCTAATCCCCTGGACCCCCCCCCTTCCGTAAATCCGCTACTGACAGCACTTGGAGATTAGTATTTATAGTCGAGAGACGAGCCGATGAACACACCGCATTAAGTAATAGGTGAAGAAGTATTACGATACTAGGCACGTCTAAACAGCGATAGTTAATTAGTCTTTTCGCTCGTTTTTCATTCCGTGTACAGCGCGAGCACACCTATTGTAAGCACATACCACGGTATACCATAGTAAAACTGCTAGAATATTATAGCACGCGCGTCTCGTAACATACGAGTGCGAGTTGAGTTTGTGTGAGCACGTGCGTGTTATTAACAATATAATTTTTTTTTTTTTTTATTCGTTCCTGTTGTTGATAATGAATTATTATACCGCGTCTTTGTTTCGGCCGTTCGTGGGTACAATAATATTATTACCTGGTGTACACCGGTAATGATAATCATTGCGTAACGAATAAAATATTATACAACGGCTGACCGTCGCCCTCGCTGAAACTTCCAGAGACGTAAGTAACATGTCATTTATTTTACTCGCGGACCCAACCTATAAACCGCAGTTACTGCCGGGCGCGCCACTGGTTTTGGAGGCGAGTTATAAACAAGGATATAACACAGAGTGGTTTAATTTGAATCTATACGTGACGATAAACCATCGATAACGTACAACGATTTTGAGCAGAGTATTATATAAGTCGTATTTATTCACTCGCTGCCAATGAGACCCGAAAAACCACGGATATCATACTGAAAATTATCATCGTTAACAATTTTCATTATCAAAACTCTCTAGTATAATAATCTCTAATAATCTCTCCGGTGCACCCGCTGGATTAAATGTTACGAGAAAGTTCCTATACATTTTTGGCTGAAGCAAGATTTCTAGTTGAAAAGTTACTTGCATATACTTGTTTACAGTTTTTCAACCTATACGCACAACTAAAAATGAGCGTACACACGTCGCAAAAGAAAAAGGGATCGTTATACCCACTTACATTAACTTGTACACGTTTGGAAATTTATTTTTTATAAAATCTAAACATTTCAAATCACAATTCTGACCAAAATCACAATATACCGCAATAAATAAGTTGTAAAGTATTGAAACTAATTGCTCAGGAAATTAAAGGTGATGTCAATTCGAAACCCGGGGGTATTTAGCACCCTCAAATACCCTCCCCTCTATAAGTGCTTATTCTCAACTTTATCTCCGTCTTCACTCTCCGGTTGTTATCAAATACTGTTCCAAAGATCTTTCGCAATATTTTTCTTTCAAGTGGGTACGCCAGATATTTTCTCGTCTGTTATCCTCATTTAGTGGCAGAGTTCCAAATCCGTACAATATTATACTGGTCTTATTATTAACATACATATAGCCAGATTAAAATAAAAACGAAAACAACAACAACATTCTACTTCTTTGAATATTTTATGAATGAATCGCATTTTTATTTGGAAAAAAAAACATTTTTTCAATGGCATATTATATTTCTACGAAGTAAACAATCCCACTCGTATACCATACAAATTTTATACGGAATATTACGTAAATTTGCACTACCTATTTACTTACATGTACTTTTAAAGAGTTTTTTTTTTTTTTAATATTCATGACATAAAACGATATAGTATCAATATCGAACATCTTCAAACAATTTTTCATTTAAAACTAATATTATCACGTGTTAGTACTTATAATTAGATAAGTAAATACCTATGTACAATTATTTGAAAATTATATAAATTTTTGTTTAAAAAAAATTACTAAATAAACATTTTTTGTATTAAAAAATTATTTTTCTCAAGTTAGAAACAATATAACGGAAATCTTTTAAAGTCCAATACCTTTATTGGTCTTTTGAATATTTTTTAAGTGAATTTTCAGAGCTTTTTTGACGTTTTCATACGCGTTTTTATGGATTTTAAGCGCATTTAAATCCGCGCCATAATAATAAGTACGCATATTATAGGTGCGATAAATTTATTATAATTTGTATGTTCATAAATCATAAAAATATAATTATAATATTATTAAACGATAATTATATTATTCATCGATCGCGATCAATTTATTTATGCGCACGCCGCAATTTAAATATTATTATATTATTATAGCGGATCATTGGTGTTTTCTATAAATTGTATAGGTATAATATCGTATTAGGTAAGTATAATATAATAAATAATAACTATTATAACATTATCGCGATAATTTCACAAATTCCATAGATTTCGAACGGTTATTAAATATTATTATATACGGAGGTGAAGAAACTCAAAAAAAAATTATTATTATTATTACGTGTAGTAAGCTTTGTAGTATATATGCGTATTCGGTTGCCTAATCGTGATAATCTGTGGTTTCGCGATTTTTTTTTTTTATGTAACATAGGTAGTAAATATAATATAATATTTTGATGTTTAATTCGATTGAATAAAAAAAAAAAAAAAACTTTACACGGTTAAATAAAAAATATGGTGAAAAAAAAAATTGTATTTTGTTTATTTAATGTTCAATCATGTATTCACGTATAGAGGTATTACAACTGATTGAACCTTGTATTGAATTTTTTAATAAAGTAAACTAATAGGACAAAAAAACGTATTCACATACATGGAAAATATTCGAATACCTAGTAGTAAATGATAATAGTACACGAAATGCCGTGATTTTAGATTCTGAGAGGAGCGAAGAAACTTATAGTTTTATAAAGATGTTTATTTTTTTTTTCTGTAGACAATTTTTCTACTAGAAAACTTGTTCTGATTTTTAATAACTACATAATGTTATAATAAAAACATAGACCTTTTTTTTATTGACCACTATTGATAACAGTGAGGGGATCAGTTGTTCACATTACTACCCCACTACTGCTATCGTTTATTAATGAGTATAATTAAGTGTTTTGTAAAATCCTGTTTTCCGCTTTGCGGAGTAGGCTCACGTTGTTAACTATTCTAATTAAACTACGGTGAGAGGTGAGCGATGGGACACTTCCTAACAGAATGCTAACTTAACCTAACCTGTAAATGACCTTCAGCCGATGGCCGAATCATCTTGAGTGTAGACTTTAATGTCCAGGACTAATACCACGTAAAATTCACAAATCACACGTGAAGAACGCCCTCTATCGATGACCG